GTTTAAACCACTGATCACGCAGTTGTAAGTTAACTCATATTTTGCGTCTCATCCCGTGAAGCCCATTCCCAGTTTTGTTGCTTCACTAGCTTGAGTGAACTGCATGATGTGAACCATGCATTTTGTGGGAAGGCTTGGCAAACTCCATTAGGTGCAAACTGTCCATCGTTACATATCAGTATGCATAAAACAGAGCTGACATTATATATAAATGGGAAATATATGTTGTCATTCACAGTGTGTGTGGGAAGTGTGTCTTGCTTAAGCAAGTGCACCAAATGTGCTGATGACTAGTATTAACAATTGACTATCTAGCCTGCACGAGGCTATTAATTAGCTAGAAAAAATTATCACCCTTTTACCTTTGAGGAAAACTGTTATGATCTGCTGAGGTATCCATTTACATCACTAATAATCACATCCATTTCATTTTGGTAACTTCGTTCTTTTCCATTAGCAGTCTTAGGTGAACTTCCTCTCCGTTTTAATACCCGAAGCTTTTCTTTCTCACGTTGAAGCTTCTGTTTATAATTAGCTATAAGGTCCCACCTATTGGGGTCAACTACATGGAGCTTCTGTGGCCATTGCATGCTTCGGAGGGCAATGTCACTAAATAAACTAATTGACGCCTCCAGTTTTCTTCACATTACTCATACTAAATGATCCATCTAGTTTAGCTGGTTCATCCATAGGTCTCTTTGACTTTGTATCATCAATTGTACTAATAGTTGCATTTGGTAAATATTACACGTGTTATTGTCTCCTTTGCATGCTAGAAAGATTACATGCAATGTTTTGTCCTTTAAATACTAGAAATATAATTTTGAATCGAAAAGTGATATGCCTCTGGCTGATAATGATATCTGGTTATGGCTCATCTGCAATTGATTTCCTTGTTTATTTTGTTTAAGTAAGATGGTTTCAAGAGTTCTTTATAATTCTTGTTAACAATTTGAAGTTCAGGCAACCTGTTCTGTAAGTGCTTGCCTTCCTGCCTCCCATATGTTATCTCCAACTTGTTAACAGAGTTTTTCCTTAAGCTTTGTTCATCATAACCTTCCATTATTTGTGTTGAGTGCTTGCTGAAGTCCTTACAAACTATGTTTATGCTCATTTTTTTACATTTTTAAATGATTGGTTTTTTATTCTACTCAAACTACATGCTCATCACCTTGTACACCATACCTGATGAGTGTTTGAATTCTTTGACTCTCTGAAGTGTCAAAAAAACATTATGGATTTTGCAAATATTGCAGGTCTTGTAAAGTGCTGTTCTTATTTCATATATATTTCTTTTCCTGCTTTTTTCAGTTCCTATGCTGTGATACTTCAGGACTTGTTGGAATATTGACATTCAAATGATAATTAAATTGCTTTTATTCTTTGTTCTCTTAATCAAGTATTGCTTTTATTATCTATCACATTTGAATAGAGCCTTTATCCTAATTTTAACACCATAACCATCATTATTCATGCCTTCTTCACTCAACATTTCTTTTCCACTTAATGGGATGGTAATTTCAGGCGCTGGATCCTGGAGAGGAAGCTTGCTACTGCAGAAGTTTCTGAAGAAGAGCAGCACAATTTGCTGAAGAATTTAGAGAAAAAAGAAACAGAATATATGCGTCTTCAAAGGCATAAAATGGGAGTGGATGATTTCGAACTTCTGACCATTATTGGCAGAGGGGCATTTGGAGAGGTTATTTTATGCTTAACTTCTCACTTTTACAGCTGCATAGTCTATTGTTGGATATTTTTGGTGAAAATTTTATCTTCAACATCATCATATATGTTTTCTTGTTTCAGATTGAAGAATATATAGACCTTTTGAAGCACAACTAAGCCCCAAATTTTAGGAAAAGCGATTGTTGTTACCAATGTTGTACGGTTTAATCTGATAACTTTTCAGGGACTAACCTGATTATAAACTAGCACGATAATTAAGTTTACCAAACAAAAGAATGTATACATGTCACTTTTCAGAGATTACTTTATTTCACACTTTTGTTTTGTTTATCATAACTTTATTGCCTGCCTGATAGGAATATTGATCAGGCTTTATCATAATTATGCAGGTCAGACTTTGTAAAGAGAAAACAACTGGGCATGTATATGCAATGAAAAAACTTAAAAAGTCTGAAATGCTTCGTAGGGGTCAGGTATGGGTAATGGTCATTCATTTACTATTTTTTTTGTTTATTTTACAATCTACTGACAATTTATCTATCCTTTGTAGGTGGAGCATGTGAAAGCTGAAAGAAACTTGCTTGCAGAGGTGGATAGTTCTTACATTGTCAAACTCTACTTTTCTTTTCAAGACGAAGAATATTTATATCTTATCATGGAGTATCTTCCTGGGGGTGACATGATGACTTTACTCATGCGTAAGGATACATTGACAGAGGACGTGGCCAGATTTTATGTTGCAGAAACAGTATTAGCTATTGAATCCATTCATAAACATAATTACATTCACAGGTATGCTTTTCAAGTTATATATGTTTTCTCTCTCCTTTAATGACACAGAATCAATATTGTTTTTATCTTGATAGGGACATCAAACCAGACAACTTATTGTTAGATCGAAATGGTCACATGAAGCTATCAGATTTTGGGTTGTGCAAACCTCTGGATAGTAGTAGTTTTCCCAATCTTAATGAGCCTGATTATTCAACAGGAAGAAATGTGAAGCATGTTCTGGATGATAAGCGATCTAATGTCTCTCCTGCTCCTAGGCGTACTCAACAGGAACAATTGCAACACTGGCAAAAGAACAGAAGGATGTTGGTAATATTCATCATTAAATATTTTATTTAAGAATTGCTGATTGACCTTGTGCATCATACTGTTTAAGTGGATTTATCGATTACTCAATGCTGTTTCTGATAAATACATGGATATGATTGTATCTTTTTTATCTACTTGAATGATTAGAATAGGCATACTCCGAGAGCAATTTGCTGTACAAATTGTCTGAAGAAGAACATCGCATTATGTGTAAACATGAAAGCCTGATCCTCTTTTTGGGATATGCTTTGAATATTTATTTTTGTCGTATTAGTTACTGGCTAAAATTGGAGGTATACTATGTCATTAGACAAATCATTTGGTCACTTGTATCAATTTATCAGTTTAGCAAGAATAAAGTTTTAGTCTTTTCACTACTTATTTCTACCTTATGGTCCTTATCATTTGAAATATAAAACTTGACACTTTATGTCTTTGGTCTGAAACCTGTCACAATTTTTGCTTCCATGTTTAGCGGAGATATTTTAGCATCATCTTCATGCTAGCACATTCTTATTGTGTATGTTCTTTTCTGTATTTAGGCTTACTCAACTGTTGGCACACCTGATTACATTGCTCCAGAAGTTCTGCTTAAGAGAGGATATGGAATGGAGTGTGACTGGTAAGTTTCTTTATGTTTCTATTTGGAGTATATTTGAATGTCCTGTTCATTTTCTGTTTCTTTAGGTGGTCTCTTGGAGCAATTATGTACGAGATGCTTGTGGGTTACCCACCATTTTATTCTGAAGATCCAATGTCAACGTGTAGAAAGGTATGTTAACTGTAATGAAAATTCCAGATTTCTATGAGTCTATTGGAAGACATTTTGGTCAGTATAATTGATTTTTATTTTCATTGGGTTTGAAATCACGGATCTGATTCTAGATCTCCAGTGTACTTGTTTTTGGTTTAGTAGTTTGTGGCTTTGGTTTGCACATCCATTGAACTTCACTTAGATAAGTAGGCTTTTTGTTATGAAAAAGGGTATACACATACTGCAGATTCTCTACTTTGAGCTGTCATTCTGAGATGGACATCTAAAGATTTAACCTACAATGTTGCCCTCTCGTGCTTGTAGGATGTTATTTATCTTTACTTGATAGGCCTGTATTAGTTAGCTCGGGACTGCTTTTAGAACATACTTAGAACCTCCCTACTTTACCCTTTGAAATTAGCCCTGGTTGGCCTTATAAGTAATTTGAATTACTCATGGTAATAGGATATAATTTCATCTTAACTCATGAGAATGGACTATCGTTTCATTTTGCAAGTATATTGAATTACTCGTGCAATAGGTTATCGTTTTAGTTTCTGGATTTACCTCATTGCCAATCTTTTGCTTCGAGGACAATGGGTTAATATACCAATTCCCAATTAATTTGCGTTAACTAACCTGCAATCATTGGTTAGCTGTAACAGACTTAGACATTTTTTTTGTTAAATTGCATATGAGAAATTAGTCTTGATCTAGGACTTACAATAAACTGTTTTAGCACGTTAGTGTTAGTTTCTTTCTCTTATTGTTTGTTTGCTTCTATTTTACAGATTGTAAATTGGAGAAACCACTTAAAGTTTCCTGAAGAGGCTAAGCTCTCACCTGAAGCTAAAGATCTTATCAGCAGGCTTCTGTGCAATGTAGAACATAGACTTGGGACAAAGGGTGCTCATGAAATAAAGGTCTGAACTTTCGAAATATCTGTGTCTGCCTGTTTATATACCATCTGTGGACAATTTGTTTTAGTATCATGGTCTGTTTCAGGCGCATCCATGGTTTAAAGGCATTCATTGGGAGAGACTATACCAGATGGAAGCTGCTTTCAAACCAGAGGTTAATGATGAGTTGGACACTCAAAATTTTGAGAAGTTTGAGGAGGTACGCCAATTTTAAAAGCCTACTCTCATTGTAAAGTTAGCTCATTAGCAATTAGAATTTATATTACTATATGAATAAACTTAGCATGCAACGATTGTAATTAATTCCTATCTGCTTCACCGTTTTGTGATGTTCTCCTAGTGTTTGTATGAACTTTGTTTTTGCTTCTGTCACTTTGATGACGGACAGCACCCTTGCTGTGTGTCTCTTTGCTCCTTTGGTACACCATTAACTTACCAAGGAAAACCTTACATTAGAACTTGTGTTATCATGATTCAGCACTAACGACCTCTAAATGGTGTCTCTTTGAGCCTTGTATCATGTGTAAGGAAACTGAAAATTGCGTTGGATGACAATGAAGAAAATTGTTGTTGTGCATGACAATATAAGTAATATTTTTTTTAGAGCTGATAAGTTTGTTTACGGTGATTGAAAAGTAGACCATTTTTGTGCTTGTCTAATTGTATTAGGAAGCCATTGTTGACTTAAAAATGAATTTTTAAAGATTAGTTAGCATCCTTTGGAAGCATATCTTCATACTCATTGCTTGAATACTCTAATTGACCTGCATCATGATGCAGACTTCAGGTTCAGTTCAAACTTCTTCAAAATCTGGCCCGTGGAGAAAGGTATGCCTTTGCTGTGTGGTCTCCAATAAATTTCATATTTTCCTTACAGGGTTATACATTACAGTTGATCAAGATTGTTGTACTTGTGCTATTGAATGCTGATCCTCTCTGCATAATTACGAATTGTTAGGGCTGCTTAATGTTCTCTGAAAGACAGTTTTGATCTTTGGCATTCAGATGTTGTCATTGCTTTCGGCAGTAACTGCTGAACATTCTAAAGAGTCTATTATGACTTTCTTGTCTGAAACAGAAGCTATCCATTCTGATTTGAATTTCAAACATAGTCTTTTCACTACTAAATGTGAAGGTTCAGCCTATACTTTGGTAGGACCTATTTGTTGAATGCTTACCAGAACAAACCACCATATTATTCGTGTCTAGTGTATTTCTTATTTGTGAAGCAGCAGCAATATGGTACAATTAGTGAAGAACCCAGAGGGTGAAGCTGGATTTTAAAGTATAAGTATTGCCGAGGATATCTTAACAATATCTATAATGTTGATCATTCTCGACTGATTGATGCAGATGTATCTAAGAGATAATTAGGCTGTGATTGTCTTGAACCAAGGTGATCTTTCTGGGATCTTATGAGTTATGACACTATGTGAAAAGTCCAATCAAATTTAAGCTAAACAGAATGAGGATCTGGTCATATTATACTAGGATTTTCAATATATATCTGAAAATTTAGGAAGTATAGAATATGTAGGTACATATCCAAAAAATTATTTGGCTGTTAGCTTAACTGCACTTTATCTTGCTAATAACAGCATGAAGTTTTATTCAAATTGCATTATGTAAAATATAACTGACAATTGATTCTCCTGTTTTACAGATGCTTCCATCTAAGGATGTCAACTTTGTGGGTTATACGTACAAAAATTTTGAAATCGTAAATGACGATGAAGTTTCGGGGATTGGTTGTTCCCTCTTTATACCTCCAATTTTCACAATTGTTTTATTTTGTCAATTCTCTGACAGTTATTTTATGTGTCTTTTACGTGCAGCTGAGCTAAAGAAAAAGAGTAATAAGCCAAAGAGGCCAACAATCAAATCATTATTTGGTAATGATCTTTACTAGTTTTCTCTGATTTACTAGTTGGATTCGAATATATGAGATCCATTGCCCTATTCATGCCACTGTGCAGACATGGATACAAGTGCTACTCCAAATCAGCCCGTCCAAGGAAGTTTTCTCAAACTGTTACCTACACAGATGGAGGTGCCTGAAAGCCTCGAGTCATCCTCTCAGTCCAGCAGTTCTTCTCTGGATCAACCCCAATCTCGAAATAGATAGCACTAAGAGCTCCATGATCTGCTTGTTAATAGCTAAAACAACCAAGGAGGACATCGGCTTGGTTCCTGTGCTATCTTTTCCATCATTGTGTACATAGAAAGGGGCGGCGCAGAGCCATCGGCTTGGTTACCTGTAAATTTGTGGTTCTGATCACATGAAGGTTTCTTTGGATTCTTTAATTTTTGCAACAATGGATTTGATATGACATGAAGAATGGTCATCGTAATGTGATTTAACTACTGATAACAGATGGTTTCCTCTGATTTGTGCATCATCTGAAATGTAGGTTTTTGTCGATGTAAAAGGACAATCGATATCTTTTATACAACTTCTTCAGATTGTGCAAGAAGCAACACATGGATTGCGAGGTATCACATAATGAAGATTAATGCTTTATCAGGTGGACTATAGTTTTAGTTAGTTTGATAATTATATATTTTCTTTAACAAGATTCTTTTATATTTCTGTTTAGTGCTAGTGAAGTCAACTTCAAGTTCATGTCTGTATTTAGACAAAAATTATGAAGCAATTCTTTGTATTTGCATTATGCTTTGTCTTTAGTTGCCGTATCATCTCTCATTTCAAGTTCTGGTTTCCTTTCGTCTTATTGTTTCTGTTATTTTCGGAATTCTCTCGTCGAACTCAACTTTCTGTATCTCCACCTTGTAATATTGAAGTGATATGGAAGTGCCGCAATGTTTGCATGCCATAGATGTTATGCAAATACTGTTGTATTAGATGACACAAACATTTTGCATGCTATAGATGTTGTGTTCTCTGCAAGTTTGATATATTATTAGTGCATGAGCCCTTTCTTTATTTTTGGTTGCTAAGAACAGCACTCCATTTTTTATTTTTGGACTTCAATTATAATTCCATTTGGCTGTAGCTTGAAGCTTTTGACTGTCAATCATCTAATGCATTCATAGCAGCACCGAGTTATAAGACAAAGTACCTTCAAATGAAACCTTTTGACTCAAAGTCTGTGTTAAGCAGAAAAAGGTGGGATGCTTTGTTCATTCCAAAAGTAACTCTCTGGATCAACTTGAGCCTTCACTTTTGCAAGCCTCTCATAGTTGTTCAAGAAGTACTTCCTTCCCCAGGCATTAGCTTGTTGTAACTCGTCCTTCCTTCCTCGCTACTGCTTCCCAAGTCGATGTCTCTGTAGTTTAGGTAAGCAGCCCTTGGGTTCCTCGACACATGAGGAGACATGTACTCATGGAACCTCCTCATCCACTCCAAGTGCCTCTCGCTCGCTGCCTCCTCTCCCTCCATCCACCTAATGAAGTACTGTATGTTAAAGAGATTTCCCTTCCTGTGAGGGAAGGCAATCACAGTCTCAGCTATCTCATCCATCCTCCCTCCCCATGGCTCCATGATCATCACCGCCGGCTCGTCCTTGGCCTCCGCCATGAACCTCCATATCCCCTTCCACCCCTTCTCAGAGATGGGCTTCCTCACGAAGTCGGATTTAGCCTTGAAGGAGCTGCTGTTGTACTGCGGCCTCCTCTCCAACAACATGGTCCGGTTCATGTCGCTGTAGCCTGCAAAATACGCAGCGGACTCCATCCAACTCACCTCACTACAGTGCTTGGCCTCCGCTCCCAGCTCAGAGAAGCTCTCGTTCATCACCGAGAGCAGTTCCCGCTGCCGGCCGAGGAACATGCCCGGGAATGTAACTCGGATGGTGCGCTTTCCCAGCGCTGTTGCGTCGTCGTCGTCGTCGGCCACCGCGATGGCCCTGATCAGCAGGTCGTCGACGAGCTTGGGTGCGACGTGCTGCCACCTCTCCACCAGCTTCGTCGCACCCTGTTTGAGGGTTCTGCTGATGCTGAACACTGTGACTTTGGGTGGTACGTCGACTAATCTGATCTTGTAGTAGAGGACGACGCCGAGGCTGGCCCCGCCGCCTCTTATGGCCCAGAAAAGGTCCTCCCCCATGGACGCCCGGTTCAGGAGCTCGCCGTTCGCGTCGACCATTAGAGCGTCGACGATGTTATCTGCGGCTGTCCCGTGCTTCCTCATCATCATCCCGATCCTGCCCCTGCTGAACTGCCCCCCGACGCCGACGGTGGCTCAGGTGCCGGTAGGGAACCCGGCGGTCCTGTTCTTAGCAGCGATGCTGTAGTAGACCTCGCCGACGGTCGCGCCAGCCCCCACCCACGCCGTGCTTCCGTCGGCGTCGACGGCGATAGACCGGAGGTTGGACAGGTCGAGGATGGCGAAAGGGCCGCCGGCGGAGACGTAGGACAAGCCTTCGTAGTCGTGGCCGCCGCTCCGGACCCTGATCCGGAGGCCGTGAGCCCTACCGCAGGCGACGGCCGCCTGAGCTGCGTGGAGGTCTCGGAAGACCCAGTTCGATTGAGAAAGCAATGCAGGAAGCTTTCACTTGGACTGTTACCATCGTTAAGGTTTCCTGCAACCGATGCAAGGGTTGTGAGCAGGTGAAGAGAGAAGACGATGCTGTTGGCTGCCATTCTCATCTCCACTTGCGTTGCAGTGACTATGGCCTTGCATGGATACATATAGCTACAAGACGATGCCATGGGAGTCATGGAAGAGCAAATCGAGGAGATTCTTCGAAACAAAAAGCAATATTTCTGCAGCTTCCCACATGCCTTGTAAATGCCTTTCGATGACTCCGAACTAAGCTTCTTGGTGAAGATGATGGAATGCAACTCGATCATCTTAATGGTGACTGACACCAGAAGAAGCTTAAAATATATTCCCTGCATTCACAGCTTGATAAAATGCAGTCATAATGCATGTTTCTTTTGCTTTGGCATTGTCTGGTTAGAACAAGTAGAACGAAGTTGCAGGATCTGACCATTTTCTTCTGACCAAATCATCTATACTGAGAAGATCTGTTGTTTATGGCATGAAGTCCATTACAAGAAGTAGTAAGAGACTGAGTGAGAGTTACGTGAAACCATGCATTCAAAGTGTCATATGTCCATTCAGAAATGCTATATGGACCATTAGAGTAGGCTGGTGAAATTAAGCTGCATCTCCGATCTTAAAAGCTTAAAGGAATCTAGTTTTCATCTCCATGATATCCTTTGATGATTATGTCAGCTAGAATATCCTTAAAAGCTTAATATCACGTACACCTCCAAGAAGGATCAAGCTGTAGCTCCTCTTTTCCCTGTCCACATCATGCCATAAGAATCTACTTCTAAATACTTGGAAGGAAGGGACCAAGAAGGATCAGTCTGTAGGAATAATATGCTACCTTCAATTTCCTAACAATACCTTCACACATGATGTGAAGGTATCAGCAGCTTTATTCTTCGATTTAACATCAGATAAGATGCTGTAAACAATGGCATTAAACCAGATTACCTTCTGGTTTCTGTCAATGTCATCAGTACTTGCTCTATCATCAGCAACAAGTCTCAAGAAGTTGATTATGTATGTGTGTCATCATTCCTAGAGCTGGACATAAATCATTTAATCTGTTTCTAAACATTTAACTTGGCTATTATTGACAAGTTAAATGTTTAGAAAAGCCTAACCGGGTGAAAAATGTTATCATCGATGTGAGGATCGGATCAAAACGAGTGTCATCAACAGGAGCATTCTTCCACAGACGTTATCTTCTCCCTCCCCTTGTAAATATCCCATCTCTTCTCTCACATACCTGCACTGCTTACAGACTTGGAAGAGCTCAGCTCTCTGGTGGAGAAGATGGCCTCCTCGACCGCCCTCTCCCTCCTCCTCTTCCCTCTGCTCTTCGCCCTCTCCCATGCGGCCACCTTCGAGATCGCCAACCAATGCTCCGACACCGTCTGGGCAGCCGCCGTCCCCGGCGGCGGCCGCCAGCTCGACTCCGGCCAGAGCTGGACCAACGAAGTGAGCCCTGGCACTGCAGGCTGCCGCGTCTGGGCCCGCACCGGCTGCTCCTTCGACGGCAGCGGCCATGGCAGCTGCGAGACCGGCGACTGCGGCGGCCTGCTCGAGTGCCAAGCCTACGGCTCCCCGCCCAACACGCTCGCCGAGTTCTCGCTCAACCAGGACAACAACAACGACTTCATCGACATCTCCCTCGTCGACGGCTTCAACGTGCCCATGGACTTCAGCCCCACCACCGGGGGCTGCCATGGGATCCGGTGCGCCGCCGACATCAACGGGCAGTGCCCCAGCGAGCTGAAAGCGCCGGGCGGCTGCAACAACCCCTGCACCGTGTTCAAGACCGAAGAGTACTGCTGCAACTCCGGCAGCTGCGGCCCGACCAACTACTCCATGTTCTTCAAGAATCTGTGCCCGGATGCTTACAGCTACCCTCAGGATGGCCCCACCAGCCTCTTCACCTGCCCCGGCGGGACGAACTACAGGGTGGTCTTCTGCCCCACGTCGTAGGAGAAGGGTTCGTCCTCCAAGTCGTGATTGAGGTATTACCTCATCACGTCGTCATTAAATAAAATAATCACAATCAGTATTATAATAAAGTCCATTAAATACGAAAATTGTTCGAAACGGATCCTTTCTTTGGATCCGTTAGTCTTATCGTTCTCGTCTTGGATCCATACGCTTATCGGATCCCGATCCTGGGTGGATCTGACCCGATAACATGGCTGTGCTTATAATGCCATATATCAGCATACTTTAAATCGTCACTTCCATTCTCTTTCTCTTTCTTTTTCCTATTGACAATCAACCGCTTGCTATGGAGAACTCACACAAAAGAATAAATATAATTTTAATATTTATAATCTCTTAATTTTTTTTAATTTTCTATAATTACTTAACGACTTTTTCCTCTGCTCGTTGCTTTTATATAATTACTTACCGCTTATATAATTTCACTCTTTATAATCCATCAATTATTAATTTTATCCTTTTTGATTCCTATAATTCCCCCTTAACATAATTAGTCACTTTTTCTTGAATTAATGATATAAGGAGAATTAAAATTAAATATCACTTTCTTAAATATATGAAGCTCAATACTATTTTTTCAAAGTATAAAGATCTAAATACAAACCATAATTAATCTGTAATTACCTCCTAAAGTGGAATCATCATGTACACAAGTCAACCTCATGCTCTCCGTAGAGTGCTTATTGTCAATCCCGTGTTGTGGCATATAGTTTACCTATGACTGCTGGAGAGGATTACAAACTATTAAGCTTAGTAAGTCTGCTAAACATCGGCCTTTGTTACGCGCGTGGGCTCAGGCGCCGGCCGGTCCAGTCAGACCGGATCTGGTTCGATCGAACCAGCTCTTTACACGCAAACCTAAAGCGCGCAAGACGAGACGAGACGAGGCGAGCGGACCCGTGGAAACCTAATCGGCGCGACGGCGGCAGCGACGACAGCCACTTCCTCCACTCCAGCGGGCTAATCGTCGGTATGTCTCTCTCCTCCTCCTCCTCGCCCTCCCCATACCCAACAACCCCATCCCCGTCCTCCACCTCCTTCCTTCTTAATTGTTTTGTTAATATAGATTTGAACGATGTAATTTGATCCGTTGTGTTTTGTTGGGACTCGGTTTGGAACTCGACGCGCCATCGTCATTCTTTCCTCTTACCTGAAACCCTAGTCGACTCTATCCTCCGGCTTCCGACTGCAAAATCTCTTTTCTTGGCAAAAGATGGCGAAGAAATTGGGGAAGAAGGCCAGGAAGTTCGCCAAGAAGAACCTCCCGTCCGTTATGAAGAGGCAGCGCAAGCTTAACTCCATGTTCAAGAAGAAATCCGCTCCCCGTAGATTGAAAGGTTTCGATCGAATAACTTTATTTCCTTCTCATACTGGACTGGCAACGGTGTTTTCTCATAACATATCAGAGAAGCGGGTTAAGTGCAAACAGAATTGAATGATAATTGTTTTCCATTGACAGTAAGCAACGAGGTTTTCCTTGAAGAGAGCAATAAGTCGAAAAACGTTCAGCAGACTCACGGGTAAGAAGGCTTTGATAATCAGTACAAATAACTTAAATAGTATATAATTTTCTTCATTCTCTTTTGATTAAACAACACATATACTCACTGCAGCTCTTGCCGATGCTTATATGCACATGCATTTATCTTTAAATAGTCTCACTCCGGGAACTTTGGTGGGTGATTGAAAAAAAAAATTATCATTGCCCTAGTCTTAAACGTTATTTTGGAGCACTAATTAACTGATTGTGGTAGAAATGGATAGTTTTCCACCATGCTTTGGATTAAATGCTCTAAAAAATCAGCAAAGTGCTACCAAGGTTGTTATACACTGTAAGGTCATGGAAAATATATCAGATGAGACTTGAGAAAGGAGACAACGTAAACTCTGCTTTGTGGTTGAAATTCATTATAAGACTGCCAGGATACTCTCATTGGAGAACCTATTAAAATATGTGATTAAGCTGGTTTCATACAAGTAGCTAATATTTTTTCATAATAATTTGTGTTAGGATGATGGAATTCTGCCAATAAACAACATCATGCTAGTTTTTGTGGATTACCTTCTTCCTTGGTTCACATGGTGTCATGGTCTGATGGTGGATATTCTACTAAACATCGAAAGAATTAATATGTTTGTTGTCTGTCTTGTTTTCTTCCTCACATTGGAGAAACATGCTTTCAAGTTTTTTCATTTTTTTCTTATTTAGAGATCGTGAAGGGATGATCCTAGATGAAGCTGTTTACAACAATGATCTTGGGGACCTATTTCATCAAGATGATTATGATTTGGATGAGGATGTTTCAGTTAGTGATGGATATATATCTGAGGTATGTTCTCTGAATCTTTTTTTATGACTGCTACCATATTCTTTGTTATGCATGAAAGTAGACTATTCTCCACATGGACATTGCTTCTTGTCTTGGCAATCATTCAAGAAGGGATAAATTATTAGCATCAACTTTATCAAGATTTCCGGATGATAGTGATCAAAGTTTAGCACTATGGTTTGGTTCTCAGTAACTCTATTTTTAACTTCTCAAAGCACAAGTAAAAAAGTGTTTCAAAAATTTTCTAAGTAATACATATTGAAATTTTCCTATCTATGTCGTTCATAATACATGGTTGGCTTTTTTTTTCTACATAACAATCTAGTCCATTTTGTTCAGCTAATTCAATTCGTATCTATTTCCATAAATAGTTGGTTTTGTTTTTTTGCTTTTACTTTTTTTGGTTCCCTTATTTTAAATATTCAATTTAACTTATCCAATGCTTATAACTAGTCTCAGGGACATTTTAACTCTTTTTTCTTTTTGCAACTTTATCGTCCACTTATATATCCACTTACACATATATCTGCAAGCACACACATATATCCACTTACATATATAATGCTTACCTATGTGCATATTTTTGCCTTGTTCCTGTGAATGTTCTGTTGATAATGGTATGCAACAGGACCCTGAATGCCCTTACATTTCGGAAAGTGAAGACGAGATATGTTCTGAAGGTTTGTATTTTTTGTAACATCTACATGCTATGGATACTGCCATAGGTCATGCTGGTCTTATTTTGTCTGAATGTGTGCAGAAAAGAGTGGTGACGCTCCTATTCTGCTACAAAACAGGGAAATCTATCAAGAGATTGCAAAGCAGAAGCGTAAATTAGATAAGCTGTGTGTCAAGGTGAGAACTCTGTGTTTTTGTGGATATGGACAGTGCCCGTTGTAGCCAAATTTGGAATTGATCTTTCGCAATTAAAGAATCTTATTTTGATTTACCATTGACTTCTTGTTTTCTCACTGCACTTTCTGAGATATTTTCTGTTTACATCATGTTGGATTTTAGATATAGACTTCTAATTTCACAACATAGTTTGGTGCTGCATCCTTTAATTTTTGTTTTGACTTCAATACATGCATATGTGCATTTGATTGAAATCCATTATCTAGGAGTAATGAAAATTGCACCAGCTTAGTTGTTAATACCTTGATGGCTTCTTATGCAATATTTGTATCATCTGAATAGCAAACTACTCTTCTGAACTTAGTAACGAAATGACCAGTTTTTCTTTCAACTGTATATATATATATATATATATATATATATATATATATATATATATATATATATTCTTTCATGTCATTTATCTTTATTCGGGATAATGGCCCTAGATAATCCACATGCCAATCTTAATGGACTTATCTTTCTCTGTCTGTTGAAACCTGTAACTTGAATGCACTTATCTTCCGTTGATTAGGGATCTAGAGTTTTCACTTATGTTTCTCTAATTTCCTGAATGCATTTATATTATGCTCTAGTTCCTTGTAATTCTAGTTGGGGCTGTATTCTAGTTGGTCCAGTTGGGTTCAAGGGTCATCATGAAAGAAAACCATGAGACTGATCTGAACTAGTTATAAACTGAACCTGAACCAAACTGAAATTTTGGGTTCAGTTTGGTTTGGGTTTGTGGTTTGCATCTTTTAAATGATTTCACACTCTCTTTCCTCTTATTGCATAACTAAAGGTGAAAATTAGGAACGAATTGGTGATTTAACTGATACACTTGGTGATGGTGGTAACATATGGATCCTTGTTTTTGAAGCAAGCTCCCTGCTGTCGGTGGGATCTTTTGGTATATGCTTTTCGTGATAGTCTGTGGCAACGGTATCAAGGTGTTTAATTGATGATGATGTTTTATTTAGGAGATCCCAGTGTTTGGGCATGCATGGAGACAGTGGAAGCTTTGAGTATGATGTCACACTATCGGTTGCTGATCCAGATGACTGACTTGTTCACACATAAAGGAAAATTTGGAAACATTTGTGAACTGCCAAGAAAGCCCCGTAGGTGAATGTGGAAGGAGGTTATCAACAAACAGGATTTTCAGAGCAATCTTAGCCCTCCGATTAATATTTTTTTGTGTATATGTCAAGCTAAACAGCCCATTTGGTTATGTTCCATTTGTTTGTATATCATCCACAAGAAAACCAAAAAACCTAAGCCATGAAATTGAACCAACCTTAGAAGATACTTTGCCGGCCAAAAGAAATACAGTTCAATTTGGTTTCCTAGATTTTTTAGGTTGGTTGACAGCCCTAATTGTAGTCATTTTTTTTTTACACCCTTATCCTTCAGTACTAATATTAGAAATTTTTACTCATACATGCTCTACATTGCGATGCGTAAAGCATAGTCGGTCTTATAATTTTCCTAAATATATTTATTTTTTAATGAGAGGTGTATTCCTTGGGTACATGCTGCACCATATTGATCTATCTTCATTTGGTGTTCTACTTTCTTTTTTTATTGAGCATCTTTCAATCTTCCATTATATTTAATGATAGTTTCAGGGTACTATACAAATTATTAGTTAATAATTCATTATGGGGAATCTTGGATGATTGCTTTAAAGAAGTTATCATTATATTATCTGATATCTCAGTGGACTAAATGAGCTTGTCAACTTCTTTATGGTTTTTAATTTCTATTTGTAGTCATGTCTGTCTGAGCTTGCAATGCTTTTTTTCTTTAGGTTCTCACTCAAATATTCTTGTACTTTTTGGTGCTGACAACCATTTTTCTGTACTACTGCTAGGACCCACAATTTTCAAAATTCCTTGAAAGTCGAAGATCTGACCTCCACAAGTCCAAAAGTGAAGAAATTGTAAGATTTTTTAAATTATTATTTTTCTACATATTAGATCTGATGATGCTTATTGTCATTCAGTAATAAGATCATATGTATTAGATTTTGAGGGTCTTAACAGACATGGAATTCCGAGCTAAGTCTAGCTGGAAGTATGGAGCTTATTCACTATATGATTTATGATTGATGAGATTGTAGGTTGTATGAATTGAAAACTCTTCCACATGTCTGGTAATTTAGAATTTTCTACATTATTTGGCTTTTTGTTTGACATTATCTAACTTGTATGTGGCTATCAAGAGTTGAATTTTGTAGCTTCAAGACAACATGCTAGCTGCATATCTTCTGAGAAATTTGAAGCAAAATCTGTAGATCGTTTATGGTGGTTACTAGATTTTAGTTCTTATAATGTTTGGTTGTGCAAGTCTTGTTATGATCTTTTAACATGTAAGTACATGCACAGACAACTCAGCTATATGAACAGCAGTCATCTATCCAGTTTGAATAATTGGTTATATCTTGTTATTGTTTGCCTTTCTGTTATGTACTTTTATTGATTCTCTACTGTATTTGTGGTTAAATTATGAACAAATATCCTAAAATCACTTTTCATGGTAGTATTCAGATGAAGAAGGTGATGCTAATAGTGCTGATGATGACGGCATAAGAGAAAGTGAAACTTCACTTAGTGGCAAGGTTCTTACAAGCTCGACTTTAGATGTTTGGTGTTGGATGGTTATGGAACAGCCAAATAGTTCTACACTCTCTAGCCTGCTTTATGGCTTCCGTGCTGCTTGTCATTATGGGGTGGACTCTGATGAAGTTTCACAACAGAAGATTGCAAATAGAGAGGTTTTCTCTAAGCTTCTCACATTCGTTCTTCAAGAAGCACATGGTATTTTCTGTAGGCTCTTGGGAATTTCGGGTTCGATGAATAAAGAAAACATGTTGAAGACAACAAAAAAGTCAGAGTGGAAATCTGTGAGACCACTGATCAAGTCATATCTGAGGAGTTCACTCTTCCTTTTGAATCAGGAAATGGACAACCAGATTCTTATGTTTGTCATATCTCAGCTCAGGTTGTCAATTATGTTCTTTGCTGCTTTCCCATCACTAGCAAAGAGGTTGATTAAGGTACTCCAGAGTGTTCTTTACGAAAGATTCAAGTATTTAGCTACAAAATTTGTTAATCAGTTAGATTATAAGAACTGGGGAATAATTTTCAGGGTTTTGAATATTTCCAAACAGGCCATGCCATAACTCTACATGAAGTTCCAATCATAACAAGGGTTATTACATTTGATGCGACAAGCCAAATACTTTACAAAATTGGGGTTTCTATAAAAGAGTAGTTACATGCCCTTGTTATTAACGTGATAATATTACATAGATGGCAGTATCATTCCGGTCATTTCAAATTACTGATTGCAGTTTTCAGCAGAACCAATAAACTTTGTCACCTAATGGCTACTATTAACCCTTAAAAAAAGGGAATTTCTCAATGAGGAAAAAAATACTGTCTTCTTTTCTTACTCATCTTATATTTTGATGCAGCGATCCATACATTTGTGGGCTACAGGCGATGAGAATCTCTCTGCATGTTCATTTTTTATTATACGGGACATTGCTTCAAAGTTTTCCTCCGACTACTTTGATATATGCCTGATGAGAACATATCGAGCTTTCATAGCAAATTGCAAGTTTATGGACCCCGTAAATCTGAAGCATATTAAATTTCTGATGCACTCTATAGTGGAAATTTATTCCTTAGATATTCAAAAATCATCTCAGAAGGTGCTTGTCTCTGTGCAGCAGCTCGCAAGTATCTTAAGGCAGGCTCTCAAGATAAAGAAAAAGGTTTGAAATACCAACATAGCTCTTGTGGAATTATGTTGTTTTTGTTCTACAAGTTCTTGAGTTTTTTATGTGATGAGGTTCATTGCCTGATACAGAGACATGCATAGAAAGTTGTTAATGCTTTTTTTTCCTTGTCATGATGACCTTATGTATTTTGTGGTGGTATTTGTGTGCATATTGTAATTACTATATCAAATTTGGGGGTAACGTTGACTAGTCTGGGGAGCATCTATCTACAACATGGGCAATTCAAATATGTGATATGATATTTTCTTAGAAATCTGATAAACACTTATGCAAAAAAGAGCAATAAAAAAAACTTTATGAAATGATTGTAGCACATTCTGAAGCAAATTTGAAGCTATAGTTACAAACATTAGATGGTGGAAGTAAAATTTTGTTGGGCGTTCAACAAAATTGCAACATCTCCATGTTTCAACTCTTTCTATTTTTGAATATGTTAATGAAGATTCCTAGCTACAGTTTCTCTTCGTTCTTAATTCCTTTCTTTCTCTCGTTTTGATCATACTGTAAAGAGGACTTGAAACGTGAAGTAAACACTCAAGAAATGAATCTAAAAACCACCAAAAGGACGGCCTTGTGCATAATGCTCGCCATTAAGGTGCTGGGAGGAACAGCTGGATGAAGCTTCAATTCTTGAAAAAAAAAAATCATGGAACTCTTTGTCTTTCTGGATCATTTCAATCTTTAAGTAGTGGGGATTCCTTTCATCCCTGCTTTGAATTTTCTGCTGTGACAGAGGGTCTGTGAGCATGTTCTTTCTTTTCTTCCTTTGTTAGTTACTTTCTGCAAAGCTATCTGTAGTCGTTTACTTATGAATATGTAGAAATAGTTTATATTAAGTTCATTTCATTGTCTTTTTAATGCAGGAGGAACTAAAAAAGATACATAGCTGGCAGTACATTAACTGCATCAGTGTATGGGTTGAGTTTGTTTCTTGTAACTACAAGAATTATGACCTACAGCCATTGCTTGTTTTGATTATTGAAATTATAAGGGGGATAGCTCACTTGTTTTCTGGGCCACGTTATTTGCCTTTAAGGTTTAAATGCGTGAAAATACTCAATCAGCTCTCTCTTTCCAGTGGAGTTTTCATTCCTATTGCATCCTTGCTCTTCGACTGCCTAGAACATAGAGGAAATATCAATGTAGACAGAACACAGAGAAGTCATGTTGACTTTTCTTCCTTATTGAAGGTAAAGAAACAGTTTGGTTACTGTAATCTTATGTTCGATGCTATTTCTATGGTGGCAAACCATTTTGATTTCTTTTCCATAATTTGTAGTATACATTTTATGCTAATAATCAGTTTTTATATAAAATATTATCCGCACAAGTTTGAGAGAAAAAGACAACTGCTTTCCAATTTGGTACAAGTACATTGAGGAACCTTTATTGAAGACTGTAAGTCCACTGGCAGGCTGGGATCATCACAAAGTCCTACACATTTTAGCCTATGATATTGAACAAACAGATATAAACACTTGTGTTGAAATGGATTTTGATGAAGATGCAAAAGCTGGGGACAAACAGTTGACAAACCAAATCCTCTTTATTTCCATTCCATATCGGCCCTCTTTCCTTGGGATGCAACTGCTAATGCTCATTAGTCCTCGTTTTGGGGATACATGTTCCAACTAAAAGGCATTGATTTGCATGTCTCCTATTGCTGGAATAATAATTACTATGACCTGAATAATGTGGCTATAATTTAAAAATAATCCTTTTCAGGATCTTCTAATATTGACTATGCTTGTAGTTAATTCTTAAAAGAATCCTCATTTTTGTTTCATGTGTAGTAATATTCTAATAATGTTCTTTTTTTCGCTGGTAAAACAGGTACCCAAACAACTGCTCAAATCACGAGACTTTCATGAGGAGAGTATTCTTACAGCTATTCAGTTGCTTTCAGAGCATTTTTCTCAATGGAGCTATCATATATCTTTTCCTGAATTAACAACCATTCCACTGATTCTCCTGAAGAGATTCCATGAGAATACAACTCTCGAAAGTGTTCGTCGTACTGTTAAGCGTTTGATGGATCAGGTAACCGGACAATAAAAGAGTTATTCTCTTATCAGTAAGCAAATGATTGATCTAAACACAAGCTAAGTCTTATAAGGATGTCGGACCAAAAGATGTTGGACAGTGCATTAGTTACTAAGTTCTTTCTACTCAGTACTGCAAATATGAGGAACCAGTGGTTCACTATTGTCTTTTCCCTTCAAATGCAGGCTCAGCAGAACAGTGAATTCATTCAGAGAAAAAGAGATGAGGTTTCATTTTCACCAGAGGATCAATCATCAGTTGATAGCTTTCTTCAGGTCAGTTTTTCCTCCCTCTATACCTTTTTCTTCATGCAAGAATAGCCATGATGAATCTTTTCTTTGATTTCTATATGCAGCTCGATAAGAATGACAAGAATGCTCCTTTTGGTCGGTTCTATGCCAGCATACGACATACTTCAATCTCCCAGAACATGATTCATTGAGTTGGCATCATCACATCATGTCGAGGTCGTATTCCATACAAGTAGGTTCATTTGTCGGCTCGTAGAAGCCAAAATTTTGGAAGTAGTGAATAATTCATCCGCTGAATGCTAAATTTTGTCTAATTAATGTAGTGGCATCTTTGTAGTACTGTCGGCAAAGAGCTATTGTAGGGCATGACGCTGCCTTGTGCCTGAACAATTAGGAAGTCATACATTTTAGTTGGTGCAGCAATCCATGTGAGGAAGTAATGATTCATGTGTGAAGGAAAGAAGGGAAAGAGTATTGGATGATATGTATGCCACCCTCTTTAACCATAATTCAATGTCCCATCTCTGAAATCCTCGTGTGTTGAATGAGCCATTTGATGATTCAAGCCCTTTTCATTTATTGCATATAACATATATCAAATTGAGCATGTCCGTCATCAAAAGTAGGCAACAATCTAACTCGAGCATGGCTTTTCTCACTAAAAGTTGCCACATAAACAAAACAGAAAAAGAAATGCACAAAAGTACACCGGAGAGATGGATATCTCCATTCTCACTGGCTTCTCATTCCACAGGTTTGCTGACCGCCTCGAACACTCGCTTTCTGTCTTTGATCGGCATCTTAAGCACTCTTCGGAAGTGCTCGGGATCACAAGGTATTCTGAGGACTCCCTTCTGCCGGTATCCGAACTCCCCAGCCGCCATCTCCAGCAAGCTAACAAAGCATGCATGCTTGAACGCCTCCACGCTCACCAGGAACCTCTGCAACCCCTCCTCCTCTGCTGCGGCCGCGCCCACCAGCACGGGCACGTAACCCCTCGGCGCTGCTCGTTCCTCGCCGCCCATTCTCCCTCCTCCGTCGACCGCCATCAACCTCTCGCCAACCTCTGCATCCGCTCCAATCCGTCGCTATATATACTGCAGGCTTCTGAGCTTGGTGCATTGCATGGAGTGCATGGCATCTTTGACACGGGCATCGCGTGGTACAGAGATGCATGTCACTGGCTGCGGTACGTCGCATGGACGTTCGTGGAAGAAGGACGAGGAGGAAGGTTTAAATGCTCGGAGCCAATGTGCTCTCTATCCTGTCGCATCCAAACAAGAATGCGATGGTTTCTTATCTCGTGGCTCGAAAATTACGGGGGTTGATAAATATTTTAGAAGTTCTTTTCAGATTCAAATTATTCGGAGGATTAGGATTAAGATTCGAAATCTCAGTAAATTAACATTTATTGATATAATTATATAATATATCTTGAGGTTGCTTTGGTGAAAGAAGGAGATATAATAGTGCACGAAGAAGCAGAAGAATCATGATGTAGCGTACAGGTGGTCCATGAACTCCTGTGATCTAAACAAGCAAACGGATTGAGATGTTTCATTGAAATCACTATTCTGAACATGACGTGTTTTTGTTGGAATTAAACTTACGAAAGATAAAAGATATTCATCGTATCAAAAAGTAAAACATATTAAAGGATAAATCAAATTGAGTATTATTTTTTATTAAAAAATATTTTAATGAGTGGAATGCATATACGTGGAATATATAAATCCTGGTTAATGAAACATAAAGAGTTTTTGAGTAAAACATAAAATATTTTATGTTATCTTACGCTTCCTTTGTACTATTGATATATCTCTTCTTTCTATCGGTATTATAGTTCAGGTTAGGTTAAACTATGACATCTTCCTCAACCATCATCAACTCTAAATCATTAGATTTATAAAAAAAAAAATTATGATTTATAATGCATCCAAATAAAGATTCTTCTAATCTCCCAAGATATATAAGAGTATATAAAAGATGAATTTATTGAACTAAGTCGAGCAGAAGAAGCAACAATCGATGTAGAAATAAGACAACAACTTAATGATAAAAGGAAAAAGAAGAAAAAATATGACTATATTTAATATGATCGAATGCATGTTAAATGAAAAAAGAATTCCTAAAGAATTTTAGGGAGATGCTGTTGCTTGTACAGTTTGTTTGCTTAATATAAGTTACATTAGAAGAAGTATGGAGCTTATAGAAACTAAGAGTCGGTCATTTAGGAATTTTCAAAAATGTTATATTTACCAGATTCCAGAAGAAAAGATTAACACCCTTGATTAGTCCCACATCGAAAGTGGACAAGATTAAGATTGACTTATAAGGGTCTGATGAGTGTATTACTATTAACTTCAACTTAAGCATTTTGGTTAGTGGTTTAGACCAAACGAAGTTGATAGACTAGTTAGCCCATCAGGCTCGGGTAGTGACATTTGGTAGCCGACCTAGCATTTGGGCATGGTGAGGGGGCTAGTTAAAGAGTTGTTGCATGAATCATCACCTAGATCAGCTAAGTTATATGATTTAAAAAGTTCGATTATAAGAAGAACAAAAATGATCCATAAGTTGTATAATGTGACTATACTAATAATGATGAGCTTTTTTATTTTATCATTTTATAGGATATGAACTATTAACCTTCGAACAAGTTTGTAGAGAAAAAGATTTGACGATAAGCTATGAATGAGGAAATTTATGCTATTAACAACAATGATACATAGGAGTTTACTACACTTCCAAATGATCGCCAAGCGATCGATGTTAAGTGAATCTTCAAAACAAAAAGAAATACACAAGGGGAGGTGGAGAAATATAAGACATGATTGGTTGCAAAAGGAAATAAACAATAGTACATGATTGAATATCAAATCAATATTTCTTAATGGATTTTTTTGAAGAAGTTGTACATGTTCAACAACACCCTACTTTTATTATTTATGACCAAGAATATAATGTATACAAGTTAAAGAGGGTTCTTTATGAGCCTGAACAAGGCCCATGAGTTCTTGGCTAGATATTTATTTTATTCAATTTTTTTAAATATTCGAACAAAATTTAACTCTGATGGAGATATTATATTTGTATATCTGTATATAGATGATTTAAGTTTTACAAGCAACAGTATTCCCATGATTAAAGATTTTAAACACTTTGTGAAAAAGGAGTTTGAGATAATTAGGCCTAATGACTTATTTCTTTGGTATCAAAGTTATACAAAATAATGAAGGAATTTTTATCTCATAGGAAAATTATGCAAAAGAGATTCTAAAGAAGTTTTTAATGAAAGATTGTCCTCCTATATATACACCCATGGAATATAGCACCAAGTTGATTAAGAAATATGAAGGTAAATCAATTAATTCAACTTATATAAAAGTATAGTTGGATGTTTAAGATATTTGATATGCACTCGGCTAGTTATACTATTTGAAGTTAGTTTAAAAAGTAAATATATGAAAGCTCCACTTCTCATTTAGAGGTGGCTAAAAGAATTTTATAATATATTGAAATGATGCTTGATTATGATATATTCTATTTATCATTGAAAAGGTTGGAGCTTATTGGATACAGTCACAATGATTGTGCTGAATGATCGGAAGGGTACAATTGAATTTATATTTTATTTTGATGAAGCTATAATCGTATGGTCTTAATATATATATATATATATATATATATATATATATATATATATATATATATATCATTACTCTATAAAGTTGTAAAGTAGAAGATAGAATAGTATCTTCTTGTGTTTGTCATGTAAAGTAGGATAAGTCAATCAATATTTATGTTGATAACAAATCTGCTATTGTCTTAGCCAAAAAATCTAATGCACTATGAAAGATCAAAGCATATTGATATAAGATTTTATTTTATAAGTGACAATGTCAAAAAAAAAAAAAATGAGGCTATTTCATATCAAGACAAGTGAACAATTGATCGATATACTTATAAAACCTCTTAAATTTAAAATATTTAAATAATTTCGAAAGAAATTTGATATGTTAGATAAAAAAAATTTAAGGGGGACGAATATTAGAATTAAATTTGTCAAGGTACCGTAAAAATATTCATTATATCAAAAGATAAAATACATTAAAGGTCTATAAAAAGATAAATCAAATTGATTGTTGATTATTAAAAAAAAATTTATATTAAATATAATGAATGTAATATATTTATGAGGATTATATAAATCTCATGTGTTAGTCCATCAAATATAAAAAAATTTTAAGTAAAACATCAAATAATATTACCTTGTCATACTCTTCATTTGCGTCATACTTCTGTAGCTGTTTCTCTTCTCATTATCGAGTTCTAACAGTTTTATCTCTCCATGCTGCGCGACTAACTCTCCACCGTGGTCGCTGTAAGTTTCTCTGAACCACGATTCACCCACCTTAGAGAGAGAAGAAGAAGAAGAGTGAAGCTAAGAAACAGGTGATGAAACGACATGTGAGATCCTTAAATTGGACAGCGATGGTACGTAGCATGAACTGGAACTTACCTGGCCATGTGAAGGCTTCAGGATCAAGCTCGTCCGAGAGAGAAACACATGGAAAGAACCATTCATGAGATCAATACTGACTGGGTTGTGGTCACGCACCGTGCAGAAGAAATCTGTGGGTGAATGATCGTGCAGGCATCCGCTATTCTATTCCCACCTTTGAACCATCATCCATCGAGGATGATCAACTCAGGGCATTGCCACCAGTGGGCATCTCCTAGGCCAATAAATGATTCCAGATTACATGCATGCATGGCTCGAAGTTAGTTGAATTTGCTAAAATGGTGAGAAAACGCAAAATCGAGTAATTTTGAATTCCAATAATTTAACAAACATTCGTAAGAGAAAGAATTTAAATACTTCAAAAGACAATCATAAAGGTTCAACAAATAAACCTACAAACGGATTACGTATAAACTTGTTTTGATCCAAATTTAATTCTAACATGCTCTCGAAATCTCATCCAACCTTATGTCATCCGTAGAATTCTATTGTATTAAGATGATTTACATTTCACACCACTCCACACGAGTGTCTCTCTGAAATCAACCCGTGACATGTAAAGACAGGATTATTTTAAGCGTTTATTAAGCATACGATTACTATTGTCTTAATTTTGGATAGTAAAAATCAAGAAAAACAAACAAAACACATATAAAACAGTGAGGAAGCTAACTTAAAACATCAACAACTTAAAAACGACAAACCAACAGTTGCGTTGCGGGTTGTCGGCGGCCGTCCACGGTATTATTTTTGTTGGCCGTCCATGATAAAAAGCATTAACAAAATGTGATCTTCTCGTGGTGTGCATGGTTCTCGTCGTGAAGAAGCTGATGCACACCTATGACATTCTAGATCGACACAGTTGTGTCTCGGTGTTCGTACTGAGTTTGTTCATTGTTGGAGTCGCTGACTTGGAGCAGGACACCGTCCTGGGTCCAGCCGGTCACATAAAGAGAAGGCTAATAATCCATGCAATGTACCGCTTGCTGTGGCGGTGACAGGCGAAGGGACTGACTCCGCCCGTGGTTTTCTCTGCGTCTCTTCGAGTCGCCGACTGCCAGAAAAATAGCTTTCAATCTTACTTCTCTCTCTTTCTCTCTCTCTCTCTCTCTCTCTCTCTCTCTCTCTCTGAGACTTGGAATTGATTGAGAAAAAAATATGTTCATATAAGCTTGAATAGAGATATTAAAAAAATTAAATTAAATAAAAAATTATGTTCTATAGAGTTTAGAGATGGAAAGAAAATAATAATAATAATAATAATAATAATAATAATAATAATAATTAAGTGTTCCATACTGCATACAACTTCTGGGTTTTGAATCACCTGGCAACTCGTACCAGGGTTGATGGGTTGGGCCTTTAACTTTGTCGAATTCTAGTGGACCACTAGAATTCAACATACACAGATGAACTTGATCCGTATATATTGACATTTAAAATAGATAGATAGATGGTCGATGGTAGTGGCAGTTGAGCTCCACCCTTCACCAAATCCTTAAGGAGTTAGGTAGGTTCTTGTATGACACTGTATATTCATATCTATGAAATGAAAAAGAATCGTTTCATAGTTGCTAGCTAATAGTCAGATTATATATGTTAGGTTTGACTTACAATCTCACAAGCTTAGATTGATATATGTTAGTTCGATTTAGGGTTGTCAATATTTGATTCCTAACATCGTAGGAAAGTAGGGTGACAAGATCAAACTGCAGCTTGATCCTAAAAGCAATCAACGCACAACACATAAATAGTGAAAGATATCGAAAGAAATTGACCCATTAACAAGCTTACCCCCTTTTTTTTTGGATTGCTCCCTTTTCTATCTTGATAAGCCTTATCCTGATAGCATTGATGTGTGATAGCTCTATAGAAACCCCAACCCTCACTGTGGTCCGATTTGGATCCAATGTGGTCCAATTTGGTGGCGGCTTCAACATTCTATAAATTGAATGTTATCCACTCCCCCACACGCTACTTCTCATGGCCAATGCCACTTTCACGGAGAAAACTTGCATGCTCTCCTCACCTAATCACTCTTTCCCTTGCAAGTACAAGCCCCAGATCTTATTTCGATCACATCTACTGGTTAGCAGTCACTATAATCGTTTGGTGGCCACAAAAGTGGCTTTTAGGTTCATTCATTTGGCCCCACAACTCTTTGTTCTCTACTTCCTTTTTCCACTACCAGAGGTGGAGTGGACCACAATACTACTACTACTACTACCACCGCCACCGCCACCACCACTGAAAGAGTGCGTCACGGAAACCGTACCAAGATGACTACGGAACCCCAAAAAGAGTCCCACTTCACCTACTCCTCCCTTTTGGTTCCTTGGGGGGCTTTGGTTGATGCTTATCGTTCCAAGGTATTAGTGTGCTAGTTGGCTTCTAGAAACCTATTTATTTAGGGTAAGTATGTTGTACTCTTGTGTCGATAAAAGGTGTTTGCGTGACCAAAAAGGTCAAGGGGAGGAACAAGAGTCAAACCAGAGTAGGTGCAACATTGAATGATATGATTGGCATCGACCATGCCCAATTAGAGTGTAGTTTCTTCGTATGATTTTAGCGTTAGATTTAGGTCTGTATGTGGGCCCACCATTTTATGGATCTCATGCTTTGAGATTCGTTCAGAGGTTTGGTGTCCCAGGTGGCACGCCAGGAGAGGTGTGGATCCCACATTATGGAGGAAAGAGCTGTTTCCTGTTCGCGGAACAGCTAAAATGAAGAATGTAAAATTAGAAGGGTTTTGCGTCGTACCTGCCGAGACGTACCCGCCCCGTCGACCTTCTCGCCACCGATTTGAAGCCGTCTACAAATACGCCCCCCACCTTCCGTTCCCACCATCGCAGGCGAGAATGATCCGACGGATGTCGCGGGTGGCGGACTGCTCCCAGTGCCCGGCGATGCGGGGGTGGGAGAAGGGGAGGCGGCCGGCGGCCGCGGCGGCGCAGGGCCACGTGCCGCTCCACGTGGGGGAGGAGATGGAGCGGTTCGAGGTCCGGACGGAGCTGCTCGCCCGGCCCGCCTTCCTCGAGCTGCTGCGCCGGTCTGCCCAGGAGTACGGCTACGGGCAGCGCGGCGTCCTCCGCATCCCCTGCCCGGTCCCGTTCTTCCGCCGCCTCCTCGCGGCCTGCGGGAGTAGGGTGGAGGAGGAGGGACTGCTCCGGTCCTTCGACGAGTTGTTCCTCTCGTCCTCCGACCCGAATTGACCCGGCGAATCGAATCCGCTTCCTGGCTTCTTTTCTCTGTTCGCTGATCCGCCCATGGAAGCTGTTGTTGTAGATAAACTTCATGGTGTATCGAAGGAGGGTCTTCTTCCTTTTTACTCTGTAGAGATACTGATGAGCTCCAATTACATGAATCCTCGAAACTACTGCTACTTCATCTTATCAATCTTATTACATGACACCTCAAATAGGGGAGGTTTCGGTCACAGAAGAAGAACGACGACAGCAGAACAAGCAACATTCTGCCATCATTTCGATAAACAAGCCGTAAAAGCCTCGATTCGAGGCGCAACGGAGATCCTTAATCGCAGAGCACGAACCTCGTGAGGCCCAACACGACGCAAGACAGCAAGAGAAGCACCATGGTGGCCACATCCCTGGTCGACCACTTACGCACCTTGGCCTCGACGCGCAGACTCTTGGCCCGCCGCAGCGCGTCCACCTCCTTGAGCAGGTCGAACTCCGCGCCCTTCCGCTTCAGCTCCTCCACGCACTTGCCCAGCAGCACCCCGTCCTCCCTCTCCCTCTCCAGCAGCCGCTCCAGCACGCACTCCGTGTCGGTCTTGTAGCGGACGGCCCACACGACGGCCATGGAGCAGAGGAGGGAGCAGAGGCAGGGGATCCACGACCGGCGGCACGCTGCAGAGGGGGACGAGGCGGACGCAGAGTAGAGGAGGAGGAGGATGAGGGAGTGGAAGACGAAGAAGGCGCAGTAGAGGGCGGCGATCTCGCGGCGGACGGCGTCGACACGGGACTCCCGGAGGGCGATGCGGCGGGCGACGAGCTCCTCCTCCTTGATCCACTGCTTGAGCAGGAGCTTGTGGGTGACGCTCTCGGCGATCTCGTGGAGCGGGTGCCGGTGCTTGTCGCTGCTACTGCCAACGACACCGCCGGTCATCTCCTCGAATTCTTTGAGGTCTTGGTAAGGGGGTGGAGAGGAAACCGAAGGGAGGAATAGTAGAATTCGAATCGAGGGGACGGAAGGCGGTCGAGTTTAAACGCCTAGAGATCGGTTGTTGTAACGGCCAGATTAAGGAGATCTGGTCACGTGACGCACGCTCCAACGGTCAAATTCCTTTGGTGTTGTCCAAATAATAATATCTCAACTAATCACTTCACATTGATGAGAGATGAAGCAAATTAATCGTCAAGAGGTTACATATAACCATGTAATAAATACCTTCATGTGAGGGGTCAGATGCGTGCAGCCTATATCCAGAACAAAAATGCTGCAATGTGCTGTGCATACATGATCGATCAGGTTGACCAGACTGCCCGTGCACACGAGGAGGAATGCGTTGGTGTAATGGCGGGTCTTAACATGACCAAATCTGTGGCTCTCCCAAGTTAGACTGGTCCAGCATCGCCATGTCCAGCGGAAACACTGACTTGGTCGTGTCAGGCTCCATCAGCTGCTTGTGCTCGGGCGACATGGACGAAGAGCCCGTGTAGGAGGTGCTCGCGGTGGCCATGGCGGTGTGGCTGAAGCGGGCGAGGTAGGCGGCGTGACTCATGCGCAAGTGCAGCATCTTGGCTCGGGCCACGGCCAGTTGTGCCTGGAGAGCCTGGATTTGGCAGTGGAGGGAGGTGATGGCGCCCACACACCCGTAGACTGGATCTCGCACCCGGGCGTTCGCCTCGTACACCAGGCTGCTCACAGCGTCTCCTCGGTGCTGCGCCGCTATCTCCTGTGCTCGCGCAGATAATTCACATGGTGAGTTCTGATCGAGCCATGCGTCTCATCTAATGTTCCGTATTGCAGACACAGAGAGAGAGAGAGAGAGAGAGAGAGAGACCCGCAAGAGTTTGCTGACATTGCTAGCGCCGAACACCTTGTGCACGCTGGCGAACTTCTGCGGCTCGTCGGCGGGGAAGTGAGGAGCAAAGACGCAACCCTGCGTGCACCGGCGCCGTAAGAGCTTGCATGCCGCGCAGGGCGAAGCCGTGGTGTGCTTCCTCCCTTCCCCTTTCATCCTTCTACACTTCCCGGCTTCAATCTGTCCGCACCAACTGCCTCTTACAGCCCATGTCGGAATCCATCCTTGCCTTAAATAACCTCCCAGAAGAAGAGAGCAGAAAAAGAGAAAGCAAGCAACGACAAGCGAGGAGACAATAAAGCAAAGATGGGTGAGGGAGAGGGAGAAGGGAAGGGAAGGCAAGGGAGGAGATGGTGTGGGTGTCTGAAGACAAGATGATGGTGTTGGTGGCATACACAGTCGAAACGTACATGGTGAGGAGATCTTGACGGTGTTGGGCCTACCTTGCTCCATGCTTCCTTGTCGTCTCTCACGTCCTTTCTGGGGTCCTGATCTCACAATTGCAGAATAGTACGTCCCTGCAAGCAAAACGTGGGCGCAAAGACTAATTAGATGTGTTTGTGCTGCAAAGCTCACGAGTCTCCAGTGGTCAGAGCTCTAACTGAGCCACTCACAGACCACGACGTTAGACCAGAAAAAGGAAAAGAAGGTATGCGGGTGTTAACAGCAACGGAGCTATTCGGTGACATTCTCGAAATGATGGGGAACATGAGAGCTCACAGGGCCACCGGTGCAGGTGGGGGGGGGAAGAGCGAAGGCGGAGCTCTCTACTTCGTCTTTTGTACTTGCTTCCCACTTTATACCTGTGATTATTCTTGTCATGATACAGGAAGCAAGCATGCAGGGCCTGTTTGGCTGTACTTCTTCTTTGTTCATGGAACTAAAAGATCGACAGCATTGCAGACAAAAGTTCGGTGATATTTGTCTGTCGATAATTTACTAGATATCATTTGAGAAAAAAGTACTCGATATTACGAAAACACTCGCACATTTGAACATGGGAATATCTACCGAGTGACATCTCATCCATGAATAGTGTCGTGAGTCGGAAACTTCCTCAGTGGGGAAGAAAATGTCAGTGAAAAGGCTTAAAGGGGATGAGAAAAGTCGCACGGTTGACACAGTAAGAGGTGTAGCAAAAAAGCACGCTTGCTTTTGCCGAGGAAAAGGAGAGGTTGCGTGAGGAAGATAAAGCGTGCGCAGCGATGGGCTGATGGAACGACTGCCGGCAGGTACTGTTCGCAGTTTCGAGTGGCAGTCGAGACTTTGGCGGCACATCTTCTTCTCCAAGAGAGGCAGACATTGCAGCTTCTTCCGTTTGAAGAAGCCTGCCGATCCATTTTTGAGTGCCAGTTTTCTCGGATCATTCAAGTTTCTTCTGGAGTTGGATCATGACATGCTTGGCTTCCTTGCTTAGCGGATGAACACGACGAGAAAGTGTACGATCTGGATGTTGAAGACGATCATCATAGGATATTTTAGAGGACATTTTCTGAAGAAAACATTACAATAATAATAATAATGATAACATCGATATCATGATTCGACAGTCTCTCTACTCATAAATTCGAGCCATGGCAACAGTAATTATGCCAGCCCACTGGTTATCCACATCGATTCATTGTATCTGTTGCCATCTGATCTCGATCCTCTCCGATATGACTCGGCCCATTCCCAGGTTGCAAAGAGGATGAGGAAATTGCTGCTGGGACATTTTAAGCATTCTTTATCGTGATACATTTAATCAAGAGCACTCCACAATTGACATGGTCCATTCCAATTGTGTGGCTGCTGTGTATTCCTTTCTATCACAACTGGTCTTGCACTTAATTTGACATAATATACTTATTATAATTGATTGATCAACGATATGTAGAATATATATAGTAGGGTGAATGACACCAGTGAAAACAATTTGCTTCACAAATTGATCGTTCCAATAATGCATTAATCCATTTGTGAAGTTGGATCATCAAAGTGTTTAATCTCAGAATACTACTTATTAAGATATGAAAGAAATTATCGCATCTGTAATATCAATCCAATCATGAAACGATTAGATCTATCAGGGAATCAGCATAAATGAATGACATACCGAGCAACCATTCCAATTTATTCCGTCCATATTGTTTGGGACATCGAAGGTAAGTGTAAGCATGAAGCAGTCATATCACTGACGGGCTTCCCGTTTCTTATTTCCTTTATTCTATCTAGTTGTTGGCGTTACTATGCATGATACATCCCTCTAACTGTATCCACACTCATAGGGAGGCTTTGGTCTGCCATGAACTCCATCATCCTTCCAAGCTCTTCCCAGCAGTCGCCATCTCTGAAGAACTCATTCGTGCTTGGACTCTGAACCACGTTGGAGTACAGCGATGGAGGTTGGCTGATCGAGTTGCACTGCCATCCATGCACCTGGTTGTGCTCCTGAGAGCAAGAGTAGCCTGAGGAGGCGCAGCACCTGTAGTCGCTTCCGTTGTCGCAATCGAAGCTGCTGGTTACGCAGCTGGAGTCAGCTGGAGCTCGCTTGTGGGTTGATGATGCCTTCCATTTGCTCGATTGCTTTCTGTAGGAGGCGCTCCTCTTGAAGATTCGGCAGATGGTCCAGATCTCCTGCAACGCAACGCACCGGGGTGAGGATTCTGCAAACGAGGAGGCGAAGCGAGAAGATCTCACAGCTTCCTGCGTGCTTCTGGTGTCGTCGGCGATGCTGCTGTCACCGGAGGGGAGGCGGAACTCGTGCATCATCCAGTCGGTCTTGGTTCCCTTCCCGGCGCTCCCTCGGTAGTACACCAGCGACTTCTTCAGGCCGACGCAGTCGCCTGAGGAGTCGATCGGCTTATCGATGCCGGTGGCCTTCCAGAAACCGGACCCGGTCACCCGGTTCGGCCTTATGCTGTTCCTGTACTTCCTCCCTCGACGGCAGAAGAAGTAGGACGACTCGTCTCCGGCAGCGACGACTCCTGTGACGCCACCAACAGAGAATGAAAAGGATTCAGTGCGTGCATGTATGGATCAGGCAGCTGAACCTACTTGGTAGATCCCATGGATCATGCTTGTAGATATCCATCTCTTTGATGATATCGATGCTGGGAGTCTTCTTCTCCACCTTCCGGCGGAGATAAAACCCGACGAGCTCTTCGTCGGTGGGGTGGAATCGGAATCCGGGAAGCACCACATCCTCCTCCTCCTCCTCCCTCTTGTTCACCATCTCCTCCATCACTATCTTCTCTCCTCCCTTCTCTTTCTTCTGAATGAGTGTTCTCATCTCATGGCTGCGAGGCCACGACGGAGAGCCTAAAAGGTGGTGGAGGTGGCCTTGGTCAAGACATCATCTTTGAACCCTCTCCCTCCTTATATACGACTTCATCCACCGATCCACTGGAGTGGGGGGATGCCAATTGTGCTGGTGGTTGATGGCACCGGGACACTGATAGAAGCATGATCTAAACTTGGGATTAACATTGATGAGCCTCATCTAACACCAACCTTAGAACACTGAAAACCACATGTGCCCGAGTCTTCTGATGGGACCATTGATGTTGAGGTGGTGCTGTGACAAATACTTCATGCGATGCGATGATCCTATAAAAAGAGAAAATGATATAACCCTTTCACATAACATATAAAATATATTCATGAAATTTTGTTGATTTCAAAGAAGTATGTGTTCATGAAATACCTTCTGTGATCACAAGTGCATGGAAAAGCACCCAATAAAATTTACCACATGACATAAATTCTGATCCAAATGGTGAGTCCTCAATCGAGATAAAGAAAAAGAGACAGTGTTTCTTCATGTTCAACAAAATTTCTCTCCACTTGCCTTTGAAAGACGGTAGAAAAGTGAGAACCCCGAGAAACTTTGGATTCTGTATCTCCCTGCAGAATCTGATTCCAGTTTCTAACCTCTCCCATGGGGCAGGCTAAACTAGAATCCTTCTATGAAGAAGAAACTGCAAGATCACATATTTCTCAATGCACAGAAAGTTTGTGGAGCACTGGGATCAGTGAGACAAATGACATAAACGCCAATAACCACAAAAACTAGCTTTTTCTTACCTGCTGTCTTCATGTCACATCTAATATCATCTCCTGAGTTGTTCCACGATGACTCCTGATGAATAATAATCATTAACAAAGTGGATAAAGTTGCCAACCAAACCAAGTTTCATGTTGCTTATCAACATTGCTACCAAGGAGAGGAGATAACTCATTGAGATCGACAGCATCTGTTTTGTAACCAATGGAACACAAAGTCCGAGTATGGTAACTAATGGACAAGCTCAGCTCCCTACTTTTATATGGTTACTAGTGGACAAGAAACAAAGCACACTTTTGAATGCTGGCTTCGAGACTAGAATAGTCTCGAGCATGACAACAGGCACCATGGCAAACTAATTGACTGTATCAGACAAACCATGTCTGTTCATAATTCTACAGAATGTCTGCATATGTTTCACACTGTTCAGACTGCATCCAGGCTTAGAGAAAGGGGAGAATAGTACTGGGTAACCAAGAGATGATTTGATGACAACAAAACTGAACATTGAACTTTTCTTTTGAGATAGAACAGAAGGTCAAAGTTGCATCTTTAAGAAACATGTAATCTTGATCTGATATTCATGTATCAAAGCCACAGATACAGAGTTTGCAAAGAGCATGCCAAGGCATTAACTAAGTCCAAACATCTCAAATTAGTAATTTGCTTGTTATAATAATTATATGATTAAAAAAAACCCTGTTTGCCACACATTTTAGCATTTCCTTTAGAACAAGTTAATTTAATTTATTTTTTAAGGCTTGTGAAACTTACACAAAATGTGTTTTTCATATGATAAATATTGGCTTAGCATCAATTGAGTAAAAGAAATCCAAACAAATGAAGAGGTTTCAAAGAAGTTAATTTTGGTGTCCATACATGCTTTCTTGCTATTAAGGAGCTAGTAGGGAGATGTCATTGTTGTTCATAAAAGTAAATTTGGGTATACTACATCAAAATTAGATCAGTTGTGAATAGTATTAAGGAAAAAAAAGAAACAATAAATCTACAAAAGTCAACCTTGAAAGCTACATTCGATTGTTGTATGCAAATGCAATCAAGTGTCAGAAAATGTTAGGAGGTCAACTCTACTGAAATTTAGTTAGCAATCAAGTGTGATTCTAGCTTTGTGATTTACTTCTACATTTCTTCACATTCATCGAAGAATACTAATACGCTAAATTGCGTTATTTGTTCTTAATGTCTCGTATAGCTCTGTTTGTTGCATTAACAAACAGAGCTATACATAGCTCAGACAATGCTGCTGTCTAAGGCTGTTAATTTGTAGAAGAGAAGAAATAATGCACCAGTAGTTATTAGGTAAACTCAGACAAGGTATTTTCCTTTGTTGAGAATAATGGAGGGGGGGGTAATCCCTTGCAGAAGCCAACAAAAGGCTCATGAACAAGCAAGGAAACAAACTATTCCTTGGTTGTCCCCAGAACAAAGAACCAATTCTAATCAGAATAGAATAGTGGAAGGACACTTTTCATGACTACATATGTTGAATCTAGGTGATGGTTGAATTTGATGCACAAGTTTAGCTTCAAGTATAATCACATTGTATCTAGGAGAGGATATGAAACAATGCAATGCCACTAAGCCTAGCTCAGTTTCAAGGTACATTTTCAAAATATTGCCTCAGCATTTGTCTCCCTATCAGTTTCTGAGGTAGGTGTTTTGCACTAGCTCCAATAAATGTCCAAAACCTTATAGTCAAAGTGATGGATGTCAAGATAACTGTCAAATATTGAAGTTTGGGAACAAAATCCAAAAGAGTTAACATTATAACCTCTACTATGATATACTTTCTTTACTAGTCTCACATGATAAAATTCCTAGAACATCTAGATTCTAATGAAAAAAATGGTCACCATATAAATGTTAATCTAGAGAACGCCTACAATAACAAGCAAGAAATTAGCGTTCCATAAAGACGGATTTCATTGTAGATTTCATTCTGCCAATCTTACCCTAAAGAAAAGGTAGATGTTGGTTCATTAAATATTTCCCATAGTCTTCAAACTTCCTTGTTGGTTTCCTGGAGGAAATAGAAGTTATAGCAATTGACTTTTTGAGGACTAATGCCAAAAGCCTTTTGTTCCCTGGTCACATCTCGTGGCAAAGTTTCTCGTGGACTTTTTCTTGATCAAATAGTATTGGTCATTGATCACAGAATACTATTGGTTGACAGCTTCCAGCTGACATTTAATTGAGCTGAGCAGTCAGGCACTCAAATATATATATATATATATATATATATATATATATATATATATATATATATATATATATATACAGACACAGAGAGAAAGAGAGAGAGAGAGAGAGAGAGAGAGAGAGAGAGAGAAGAAGAAGAAGAAGAAGAAGAAGAAGAAGAAGAAAAAGCCTTTATTGGTTGTCTTCACAGTGATGTGGCATATTGAATTTGCCAGGGAATTATTTGTCAGGTTGTGGTATAATACACACAACTATATTTCTTGTCAGTAAGATTAGAATAGTCAAATGCTAATAAGAGAGAAAGGAAAAGGCAGAGTGAAACTGATGGTACATGTCACCACACTTGTTCACTGTTCCAGAACAAGAATACTTGCTACCTACTTCCTCCTTGAATCAGCCACCAGTCTCACTGATCTTGAACTGGAATGAGAACCAAAACTACCAGAAAAGATGCCACAACACAAGCAGCAACTTGGTCTAATGAAGAGGAAAGGGTGGAAAATGACTGATGAACTCCAACCTTACAAAGGCAGAGAGACCATTGCAGCTCTTGACCACCAACACCACCAGTGTTGATGGCCTTTGGGAAGTCTTATAAGAACAATGAACATGCACTTGTTGATCAGAAATCAAACCTGAAAACAATTTGTGTTGTCACTCTTTGATGCTGCCTCTCAAGGATGCTTCTGAAATTTTTTTACTTTGGCAGGAGGATGAGGTTCAGGAGGTGGTTATCTGACTTTATTATGGTTTCCTTATCTTGATGGATCATTTACTTGTCATCAGATCAACCACATTTAGTTTATCAGCAGCATGCTTCAATGAGGGTCTCTTTCTTAGACTTTTCTTACTAAATATTTTATTAGTAGCAAGTCTATGAACGTGTAAACCTTTTCACAACAAGATATAAAGTGGCTTTCACCAACTGTTCATGGTCAACAACTCACCATTTGTCTTCTCAATGCAAACATATCCAATTGGAACATCAAATAAATTAATTGTATCATAATTCATTCCAGTAAACATATATATTATTTTGGAATGACACCATGATGCATAATTCAACCATATCTCAGGAATCAACTGCAACGTTCTAGGAGACACAGAATCAGAGAGCATAACTGAAACATTTAATGGCATTAATAGCTAAGTTTAGCTCACCCAATAAGGTGGTTGGTGTGATCAAGCCAAATCTGGAATGGATAAAAAAAAAGCCTTCATTGATCTGCACAAATTTAAACTCCATTAAGATGGAACAGATATAATGGCTAGTTGTAACAATGGAACAGACACCAGAACATCCAACAAATGATTACTAGACACACCTCTTTTCTGGCAGTTCTTTTGGATATCCTGGTACTGTCCCTCGAATTGAGTCGAGTTTTCAAACAGATGCCTCGGCATGTCACAGTACAAACTTTATTCAATCATATTAATTGATGCATTGCCCACAAAACCATTACAAAATTATTGAAAATGGTCTAAGCATCAAGGTGGCCAAGTGATCCCCCCAAGTTGATGACCATCAACTGTTGGATTAACAACAAAAATGGCCAAGCTGCCTCCTGCTTCAAGGGAGATTTCACGTACATCAGCTATCCTTGCATCAGTAGATCGGAAACCACACCACTCAGCATCTCCAAATGAATGGATCTCCACTCCACCTTCTGCTAGCTGGGCCACGCTGTCTATGGAAACCGAGACTAATCCTGAATCGTTTAAGCAAGCTTCGCCGACATCATCCTTCGATGAGTCAGCATGCTTTGTTAACGGATCATCAGCACCAGAGCAGACTCAGATCTTTCTTCACAGGCCTGCTTTGTGTTGCTTTGCAATCTGTTAAGAAAAGATGTGATATGTAAAAGTTAAAAGAAAACTATTAGTCATAAATGAACTGCATAACAGTTTTAAGTAAGGAGCAAATAGAATCTACAAGTGATCATAAAGTGAGGTTCCTGAAATTGCAGAATACCAGGTAAATCAATGCTTCTACAAGTACTACATGGACAACATGCTCTTGTACCATCAATTACCAACTGAAACTTAAAGTGATATTTCAGTAAAATCACACAAAAATCCAATTACGAAGTAAAATTATATACTGGAATTAAAATAGATGTAGATCTTCTGGCAATGATCTCACTAAAGGAACACTAATGAAAGCCTCGGTAAACTCTTTTTCACTATTTACCAGTGACCTCCACTCTCCTATTTTGAAAGGCTTACCACAACTCATATCCTTTTCTGTTCTTAATGCATTTGTGATCATGTACCATCTTGAGCAATTCACATTGTTTATCAAGAATTGGCCAGCCAATATGTTCGTTTTCTAACTGGTTCTATAGTACAGGCTGTCTGCCCCAATCACTCTAAATTCTAGCTTAACTACAAACTGGACTGTTTGTTCGAAAGTATATGTCCATAAGCTCAGATCCATTCAACAGAATTTCGAACTCTAAATGCACCCTGTATTTACCATCCTATTTTCCATGATGCATGCCACAAACTCTATCTGTTAGACAATTTCTTAGACTCTTGGCCTCCGACAATTTCATTGAATAGCCACTCCAATGCCAACTCTCCAACAATTAAGTTTGTTCCTATGAACATTAACCACAATGAAAACCATATGCTATGCAATTTTAACTATATGCATATCAACTCATACAATCATCACATGCACTATTTTAATTATATGTTTCCATATGATCATTTGAGATATGCTGTAACAATTTAAACAAAACAAAGTCAAAATGAGACCAGTAGTGATAAATCCGGTAAATAAAGGCACTTGCACTCCAATAAAATATTGCAGACACATAATCCCTGTGACATCATCAGATCAAGTCTCGCCAGTAAGGTACCTTCATAATTGTAAGATCATCAAGATGACCTTCATTTGGATTATTAGTCACCAAGCCCAAAGCAGCTCTCATGGAGATCATCATTGCTGCTTCAGTTTCTTCTGATGCTTCCATCACAGTTGAGTTAGCAGCTGCAACCAAAGTAGCAACTGTTCTTAATTATGTAGAATCATTCCAATTGAAGTTACTCAGACCCTCTCTGTGAGCCCGTAGCACCAACTGGGCTGTGCTGGTTGTTGGAATCTGTCAAGTGTCAACATAACTAAAAATCAGACATGATAAACAGATACAGAAACAGACTGCACAGAGAAAAGTTTGAAACTTGAAACAAAATATTGTCAATCCAGAACTCAGACAGGAACACCCAAACTCAGATAAGCATACCCAAATTGATATCTGCCCGGTGCTAACTTGAAGTTAGATGATTTTCAGCAGGACCCGAGGTACGTTTAGTGGTTATATAAGAGTAACAGTATTAGAGGAATTATATAATTATAGTGGGTGACTAAATAAATTCTACGATCTGCATAATGGATGACTAAAAATTTTTACAGCAGAAATTAACATTTAGTAAAGTGAGAGTTTAGTAGATGCCTTTAAGGTTTAATCAGCCATAAGTACACTGGTTATCGAGTCTGAACTTCTAGATGCATATAATGAAAAATGTTAATTCACTAACCATGATAAATTGCTACAGATCCCACTCTAAATTGACCTGTTTGCTCCAGATTCCACACAACTTTCAGTAGAATGTTGCAAATTATATAATTTTGCACTTCGCAAGGAATGCAACTTCTCCACTAACTTGAACCTTCCTACGACATCGACTCAATCTGAGTACTGACTCAGTCTACGAACATGCCTTCCTTTCCTTGCTTCCAATGCAACAAGCGAATGCGTAACTAATGCCATTCATAATCAACATAGAGAAGTGAACCTTATCAGCAGTTGAACCAACTCTAGGAAAATAATTACAACAAATGCTTTCTCAACATCATTGCTTACCTATAATTCCAGAGTGGCGAAATACCTCCAAATAGGGGGAAGAAGACAGCATGATATAAACAACAAAATAGATGGCAGACGATCTACATGTGATGGTCCTGGCAGCTTATGGAGGCTTCTAATGTAGAAACCTCGGGAGTATAACAACTGGCTTATACAAGGTCTTTAAGCATGTTGATTTGAGCAGAGGTAACAGTCGTATAAGATGATTCGCAGGTTTTCTGGTCCTTTTGTCATTTATCTTCTCGTAATAAGGTAAGTACAATGCATGTGTATCTTTCATACGCTATAAACTAAAGAGGCAATTCCTTAATCTTCTAAAAAAAGAGAAGTATACAATAACAGTAAATCCTACATGCTCAAGAAAACGATAGGACCCAAAATTCTACCAGATGCAAATGATGTTGATTGACATCAATGGAAGCGAAACTGGAATCACGACGAACAACAAGAGATCCGAAGCCGCACCGTTTCCGATCGCTTGAGAAGCGGGGCCTGCAGCAGGAACCGCTTGATCTTCTTCAAGCTGCTCTCCGTGCCTTCCGCCCTCTGAAATCGACACGGTTTTGGGAGTGAGATGGATCGAAGAAGAGGGAACCAAAACCCTTATCGGAGACCCAAAACACCAAGATCGAGGAATCACATACCCCAAAGCCCGCATCGGAGGCCATCGACGAGTGGTATCGCGGGATCGGAACTACCGCCAGAGGAGAATTAAGGGAAGTCGGGCAGGTCGGAGTGACGACTATTCCGATACATATATATATTACGCCCGTTATGTCAGTGCAGCCCTTTGTCGCAGCCGTTATATCGAATTCATTTTAGGCATGTTAATTAAGTCAAATGGATCGACAGCCCCTTCAATTCATTTGTTAGTCAGCAAACAACATTATCTAATTAATCACATAAACAGGACGCTTAAAATAATGGATTTGCTTGTTATTGGGAGATTAGTGGTTTGAAACGTCATAAACACCCCCGTTACGAGGCAGGACATTGTAACAGTTCTTACTAGATAATATTGTAACAGTGTTATCTTGATTGTAACAGTTCCAGTAGGTGATCCGAATTATTAATTGTAGCAGTGGTATCTTTGCTTGTAACGGTTCTACTAGGTTGATCATGAAACAGGCGCTTTAACGTTCGCGCAAGCAGAGCTTGATATCCCGATGCGAGGTCGGATCCATTGATTCTGTCCATAGCAGAGTATGAAGGATTGCATGCTGGAAGAGACAGAGAACGCAGGAACAGTTGGAAGAAAAATGAAGATGCCAGGGAACTCTGGAAAAGCTGGCGTTTTTTTACTGTGCAGCATGCACACATGATGATCCACAGGGTGGCTCGCTGAAGCTGTCAGCTAGATTGGATGTTTGTGGCCTCGTCTTATGATGATCCTGTTATCTTCTATCCTCCAATGATGCCCACCAGGTGCTCGGTTGATGTACATGATGCTGCTTTCTCCTTCTCCAAGCATGTGGTAGAGGTTATTATGAGCATCCAGCCATCCATCCATCCATCCATCAACGCAAGCCAACGTAAGGTTGCACCGATGAGTAGGTCGGGGGCTTTAAAGAAAAGCTTGGAGTTTGAGGGCTTTGCTGCTGCGGTGAGACCCACATCATGCCGAGAGCTCACAAAAAGCCGGGGAGAGAGAGAGAGCGAGAGAGAGAGAGTGGGAGAGGGCAAAGGAAAAGCTAAAAAGTTTCATCGCCATGCCAGGATCCTTTGCTTTCTCCCGCTTTGTTATTATATCTGCATGCAATCACCACGGCATGCTGCTTTTCCTGCGCTTCTGCTAGTTTATTTGCATGCAATCCATAGCCCCACTACAAAACCATGAGAGCCCCTTTGCGCCATGTTCTGTTCCTGGGTCGAAGGTTGCAGGTTGAAAGGGAGTCAGGAGACGGATGCTAAAGAAAGACAGGATAGAGATGGAGAAGAATGCGTTGGTCGGGGTGGGAGAAGAAGAAGAAGAACATGAAGACAGATGTAGGGAGTACAGAAAAGGGAACTGGAGTCTTACTGAGACCATGGTTCTGATCGAGGCGAAGAAGATGGATTACGAGAGGAGGGCGCAGAGGTTGAAGGAGTTGCCGCGGGGCAGCAGCGGCATCGGCAGTAGCAGGCCACAAGAGATGAGGTGGAAGTGGGTGGAAGACTGTTGCTGGCGACACGGGTGCTACAGAAGCCAAAACCAGTGCAATGACCGGTGGGATAATCTCATGAGGGATTACAAGAAGGTCAGAACATATGAGCTGAGCTTGAGCGCCGGAGGAAACCCAGGTTTATCTTACTGGAAGCTCGAGAGGCATGAGAGGAAGGAGAAGAACCTGCCCTCCAATCTCTTGCCTGAGATTTACGAAACCTTAACCGAGGTCGTGCAGAGGAGAGCCATGGCGGAGAAGGCGAGTGGTGGTGGTGCATGTGTGGCCGCCGCGAGGCCAGTGCAAGAGGAGAGGCAACTCGGGGGCGCCTCAGCTTCGATGCAGCACAGCAGCCCAGGTGCAGGATCACAAGCTCCGGAACCGCCAATGATTGCGCCGCCCCTTCCTCCTTATCCTCCGTCACATTCTCGACCAATGGCCACCATAGGTTAGACTTCTCGGTCCAACATATTCAACAGTTAATAGATCAAGCCATGCTTCTATTCCAAAATGCAGCTGCTTGCATTCCAGCGTTGCATATCTGTTTCTCTCCTTCCAGGAACTTCAACTGAACTATGAGAGAGAGAGAGAGAGAGAGAGAGAGAGATTTATGTCTATATTTGTTCTGCTACTAATGCTTCTAACAATCTACCTTCTAACGTAAGTTATAGTCTTCCATGGCATATTGAGTTTGCTGTGAGTTGCTTTCAGGCTCTTCCTTTCCATGTGTAATTTCTCCTTATCGCTACAGATTCCGAAGACAGTCAGCATTCAGTATCACCAGAGAGGAAGAGAAAACGAGGAGGAGGAGGAGGAGGAGGCAGCAGCAGCAGCAGAAGCAACACCATGGAGCTGAGTTCTGCGATCTCGAAATGTGCTTCGATCATAGCAGAGGCGCTGCAAGCAGGAGAGCAGAAGGAGGAGACCAGGCACAAAGATCTGGTGAGCATAGAGGAGAGGAAGGCCAAACTGGAGGAGTCAAAGTCAGAGATGAGCAGCCAGTCCATGGATGGCCTGGCTTCTGCCATCAACAAGCTTGCCAGCTCAATCCTTGGTTTGGCCACTGACAGGATGCAGAAGCTCCAGAAATAAATGAACAAAGAACCTGATTGTAGGTGTCACACAAAAGTCCAGGGCCAGGAAAGGAGAGTGATTTGGTACACTCACCACTGGCTAAGCTCCTCCATCAGCCATTCCATTCTCACTTCCAATCATTAATCATGCTGGGCTTGTGGGAATCTCTGCTGTGACTTTGAGGTCATGATTGCTTCACAACTGCTCATGGAGAGAGATGCTCTCTCTCTCTCTCTCTCTCTCTCTCACTCTGTGTGCATGGCACATGACACAGTGGCATGAAAAGGGTGGGGAGCTGCAGAGAGATTGAGATTTGTATGTGTCAGTTTAGATATATGTATTCTGTGCTGAACTAGGTAGGTTATCTCTAGCTAAATCTACTTAGAAAAAGTGTCAGTGCTTGGATTCACCAAATCACTCGAAAGCCTCGAGGAGAGAGAGGTGGCTTTTACTTTTGTGTCAGAGATGCTTTGTTTTGTTGTATCTGTGAACCCACCCACAAGTACTTGGAATGCAGGGGGAGACAGTGCAGTGGTCAAAGCAATTTGTTGTGGGAAATTACAGCCATGCCCACACACACACTCTCTCTCTCTCTCCTCTGTGGATTGAATGAGTCCTATGAGTTGGCTGCAGTTTATTTCTTGCTCTTTGAACCTTATAATTTATAGTTCTTTTATTATTATTAGTTGCTCTTTTATTAGCCTAAACATGTAGATAAATCTTAATAAGTTGCTCTTTATATATGAATTGTGATTTATGTACTGAATTAAGCTTATTTTATGCACTGATGTAGTAGTTGCTAGCATTTCTAGTTAGCCATCCTCTTATTGTTTCTATTTGTGCATCTTCTATAGTAAAGCATCAATCTTTGTCTTCTTGACATTTTACCAGGATGATTTTAATGCACTCAAGGCTACATAAATAATTAAGTGACAAGGTTGTGTGTGTTGTAGTACAATTAAATGAATCATATGAATCACATAAAGGCATTTCCCCTAATGTTGGTGGGTTTTGGCACAATAAATATCTCCTCAGTATGTTTTGTTGTTTATGATTTATGTTATTTTGTATCATGTATGATCTGAGGATGGTCCAGCATTTGCTTGGAACTCAATTAGTAGGCAATGAGTTAATTCATCTGTTGCTACAGACAGCATTGTGTACTAAATCAGCTGTACCTTCAGACATCAGCCAATATTTAGCTGTGTGGCCTTGTTTTCATACCCTATATTTGGGTGGGAAGAGACAGCAGGGACAAAGCTTGATGCTCAAAAATTTATCATACATCACACCATTGACCAAATTAGCAATTGCAATTTGTTTTAATTAAAGCAGAAGACTTGAATTCATTCTGTCACAGTTAGGTATTTGTTAACATATACATCTATATTATCTGAATGATTTGCCATCAACAGAGAAGCAGTATTTATAGTGGATTTGATGTTGCTTGTTGACATAAACAACTCACTCCACTTAAGGAAAACCTTTGTTGAAATTTTATTTTTATTTTTTATTTATTATTTTGATGGAAATGGTTTTGAGCTTTTCTTATAACCATGCATGTGCAAATGGAGTAGTATTTGTGGGACTCATCAATTATAAGACAAGTATGTCTCTGTGATTCTTTTTTTTTTTGTGAACTTCAATTTTAATGTGCTATGTTCCCATAAAGATAAAACATAATTATTATGTTTATTATTATTATTCTCATATGCATTTATGTCTCTTCATTTTATCTCATTATTGATGTATAGATGGGTGTCTATATCAGGTTCTGTTATTCATGTGCATGCAACATTAGCAACAATCCAAGTTGGATACTGATTATTAAGCAGCAAAATCATATCCTGATAGTATATATAAGCCATGGAATCTGGAAATGTGAACTGAGGATATATAAGCATCTTCCTCAATCTCATTGAACAAATGGAAGATGAACAAGAAATGGACTGCACAAGAGAATACAGGCATGCACACCATATATAGATCACTGTAACTAAGATTCATGACACATGAAGCTCACCTTCACTCAGCTATATCCTACCTTAGGACTAGACCTTCAAATGCCTATATATGCATGCCTAACAACTACAGTGAGGACCAATTCAAACATTTGCACATAATGAAAGTAATTAAACTGTGGAAGATGCATACAGTTGACCATGACAAATTACACAGGATTCAGATTCTGTTCAAGTTCAGAGCGAAAAACTCAATATCTATCACCTGATTGCAAGCTAAGCAACATGTTTCTAGCATACCGGGTACTATACTTTTGAATAGTGTATCAAGGGATGTAAGCTTCTGGTTAGGACCAGGGTCAAAATATTCATCATCTCAGCATGGTCAAAATGATCATGATTATGAACAGATCAGATTGGGAAAAATAACTTACAACTCTTAGTATAAACATTTTTCCAGAATATACACTAAATGAGGTTAAAGAATTAACGGCAAAACCAATATTAACAGTGATTCATTTGCTAGTAAGCTTCATTATTTTTCACTTTCTCCTATGCTGATGATATCAGAAACTTTATACAGGAAATTTATGGACATCAACTATCATTGCCGCTTGGCTAGTGTCTTTCTGAGTCCCCTTAGAATCTTTGTAAACCACATGATGTTCATGATAAATAGTGCTGCGGGTACCAGCAAAGTAAGAAGGTAGCCTAACGTGTGCATCTGCCTGATCTGTGAGAAGAGGAGAGGATTATGGAATTAATGTTCGGTCAGAATTTGCAAAATCTTGCCATAAACAGAGTCAATATAAAAGAATATCCGCACCTGATCATAGTACAAATAGATGTAGTAGAACAAGTAGATGAACAACAATATTCTTGCCACCTGCATAACGATAATCACTTGGCTCAAATAATATTATTTAGCAACATAGGCATAAGACCATATATTGTAAATAAAATTACGATAAGAGAACATAAAAACAGGGATGGGCCGGTTGCACGAGCCTATTCACAGTGCAGGGTTCGAGAGGTGTGAAACATATGCAGCCTTACCCTTGGGATGATAGAGGCTTTCCCATGATAAGCCTTTGACATCTAGATCATGATGGCAAGCTACACTGAAGCAAGATCCACCATTGATCCCTAAGTCTGACTCTAACTAATTATTAGTTCACACATATTAAACAGTGTTGGAGATTTACTGAATTCCATTTGGTATTATGGCATAAAGCAATTAAGAAAATTGTATGAAATTCAAGTAACAGAGTGGTCAATTAAGCTATGGACATGGCTCAATGGTTGAAAGAGAGATGCATGTACTTTCTAGATTGCGACAAAGCAGCATCGACTTAACTAAGGTTCAAGGACTAATTAATTTGCATCAGTAACACTACTTCAGATTCATTTTCTGCAAATGGCTACCACAAAGGGCATTGATGGGTATTAATCAATCTAATAACTCCAGCGTATGTGAGCCTGACCAACCTTTTCTAAATAATTTGCTTAATTTCCTCCCACCATAATTAGCACAGAACAGTGTTTACTAGTTTTATTTTTCCAAACTTGTATGTGATGCAATCAGACCCCTAACGTCTTGTAGAAGATTCTTATTTGATGTGGTTTTTCCAAATTCATCCATTTTCTTCTTAAATTAGATGGCATAAGTTCATTATTTCTAGTGAACCAGTGAATTCTTAAATGAAATTAGTACATTCTTTTTTACCAATTAACTTTAGCAGCAATAGTTTTCTTTGATATGGAATATGAGATCCTGAAAGTTAATTGATAAGAGATGACAAGAGCAAAAGTCTCAAAGTGAGAGCACATGAAAGTGACATGTAAAGTTGTTGCCACAAGAAATAGAAGGCTCAGGCTACAAGAGGATTATACTGTCATGCAAACTGCAATCAGATTTTTTTAAATAGAAAAAAAGAAACAATCAAGTGAAGTTAATTTTTAGCTGTCAAGATTAGTCCAAAATATCTTTCTCATAAGGTTTTCAATAAGAATGATTAAAGGTTCAAAATAACAACTTGCTTTATAAGGAGCTCTCAAACGACACAATCTTGCACTTACCAGCCATGCAATAAACATCATGACACCATTAACTAGATATGCGCTAGATTTTTTCATTCCAGCAGTGTCAAGGAACCTTCAGGAAGAAGAAAAACAAATCATTGTTAATTTAAGAAATCTGACTTCTTAATGTTACAATGATATAAAGTCCAGTAGTATTAATAAGGTACCATCGTAAATTTATTCCAGGTGTTGTGGTCTCAGAAATAAGGACCATGTATGTGTACAGCTGCCCTTCCCCGGACAACATAGTGTAAGAAATTGCTGTTGCAGATAGCAGATGATGGAGAACCTGAAAAGGTAAATCCTAATTCTTTAAATTCATATGAAACAGGTATTGGTGAAGGCAGACATGACCATAGTCTTTCGCAAGCAAGACCAAAGCAAGTTAAAATTTTAAGTAAAATTCTAAGAAACCAGCACATAAAACATTGACACATTAATTGAACTTCTGAGATTGTCCTTACATATTCAATTCCACCAAGGGAAGGATATAGCCAAAAGATCATTGCAAGGTCCGACACGAAGTATCCAACAGAAACCTGTCGAATTTATCAGCATCTGGACTTGCAGTTCTAATAGCAGAACTAGAAGTGGGCACAAAAGTAAATATCGTTGAGAAAGTTCTCACCCCTAATGTAAATATAGATAAACTTGAACTCCGGAATATAACTGGCCCTTCAGTGCAATCTGAGAAAAGATCTGAGAAGAATACTAAATATAATGACATCACCGTGATAAAAATCGCATGGGCACTTGACATTCCCCTGCAAAAGTAGTTTCCTTATACGTGAGAGCTCATAAACAAAAATGGTATGCAATTAATAATAACTTCTCACCTATTATTCCACTCGATACGTTGGATCTTTGTGAGGGAAGCATATCCCTTATAGTAAAGAGAACTAATCATATGGGTAACATCATATGCCTGAGAATTGCAGACTGTTAAGAAGTTAAATGAGACAACTAAGATATCCAAGTAAGAAATCATTGATCCCTGTACAGAAGTCTACATGCATGAATAGGCACATGCCCACGATATAATTGGAAATTGGATGGAGAAGTGGAGGGAATGAGAATCCATATAAGTACTAAACACCAATAAAGATTCAAAATGATAAAGGTAAAAGCAACTTTATACTTTTTAACAGCTCATCAAAGGAAACATATTTTTAGGCAGTGGGTGAGCTTGTTTGTCTAAACTTTATAATCAACTCAAAATGCTCCTCTCATCTCTGTCCCTTGCATGAGAACAGATTATTCTTACTGGGCGCTTCATGGTTTTCAAAAGACTTAACCAAATATCCAAAGATACTAATATGAACCAGATTTGGCTTTTAGCAGTTCTTTTTCAGTCTCTTGAATATTTTCCTTCAGAAGACCAGGGATATGCATTATAACAAAGCATTGGTAAACAAATTTTCAGGAGAGGATATATGGGAATGAAACATACCATCTTGCACATATAAATGCCAACAAGGACAGAGGTACATGCAACAAGATGATCTGCTAGCAAGTAATTTCTGACCAGCCACCCAGCCTGGTAGATGTATGACTGCTCTGCCATTACCTGAGTCTTAGAAACCTGCATTATGACATATATCCTGATTCAAGAATTCAATCAATAATGAAACAATTATTACACGCAAAACATATATATTTTTAAGATGAATGTATTATTTTTCAAAAATTCAAAATGAGTTAATTTATATGCTAAAAAAGGTAGAACATGTTTTTGCAAATGATATGCAGTCTAGCATAAACTAAAAGCCTTTTCCTTAGAGTCAATTAGAAGCCTTATTGCATGCAGAAGAAGCATAGCATAAGTAATAACAACAACTGCTTACTTAAAGCAAATTTTGCAAGTAAAGAATAAGACAGGCATTCTACCCGAAATGGTTCATATCCTATATATAATCTTGTTACATTGCTGAAAATACAAGAAGCCTACTTATTGAAGCTGCCACAAACGTAAAAATAGGACAATACTCTTCTGTATCATTTCTATCAGACATCACAAAAGGCCTTAATAAACAAGTCAAGAGCAGAATGGGATTTCATCTGTACAACTGAAATTGTGCTTTAATGTACAGACACACTGACTTGTGACACACAGAAAGAGCCAAATTGAATGTGTCATCAGTACATTACCAAAAGGAAATCAGAGGCCAATAATTACTGAGATGCTAAAGCAAGTCTACGGAACCACCGGAGCCTTCTCAACCCAATCCTAGTGTTAAGAAGGGATGGGATCAACCGAGCCTCCTCACTTAGTGCTACTAGTAATAGTTATTTCTCAGATTTAATTTATCATTATTTATGGATTTACTTTTATCATTATTTTTATTATATATTTTAGACAGTCTATAAGGTCTTGTTCTGAGTTTATTTAGTGTATGAATCTTGATAATGGGTACAGTAAGTTGCCTAGCTTTGGAGAATTCCAGAGGATGGGACTTAAAGAGATTTCCATGGTAGGAAAGAATTCTCCTAGAAGTGTTCGAATCTTCCAAATTTTTACCTAAATTCACATTCTTGTTCTCCTCACGATCAAGGTGAGAAAGAACATCAGCATAAACTGCAAGCCACGATATAAAGTAGACCAAGATATGTCATCTTCCTGAAAGAGAAAAAACAAGGCCCAACTGACGTCTGGAGCAATCGAGCAGTTAACCAGCAGTTCGTCCAGGCAAATCAATCAATGCTAAGCAAAAAGTTCCTTTTTTTGCTGAAATATCCTTAACCAGCCAGGAAAAAAAGTAAATTTTTCATCATCACCTCTCATCTCGATGCACCCCTCAGACTACCATCACTCGAGAACCCGAGTGATGCCAATCCCAAACCCGCAACCGAAGCAACCAAGAACAAGCTCCAAAACACGTTGATCAGTTAGAAATACCATCGCAAAACCCTCGGTTTGAACCAGCAAAAGCCGAAATCAAGAAAGAGAACAGAGCGCCAACGTCGGTCGTGGGAGAGAAAGATTCTACCTGGAACCACGAATCGGGAGTAGACGGGCGAAAGGTGCGTTATTCTTGGGGAGAAGCCACCAACCGAGCAATTAGCAATTAGCGAAGGGCAGGAGGAGGGATTGAGATGGGAAGAAGAGGGAGGGAAAACGTGAGGGGTTGGAACTTGGCAGAGCAAGCCTTTGAATCCTGGGAACAGGATTCGTGTTGGATTGTGCCGCAATAGATTGCGACGGACGCCATCTTTATACCCCGACAAATTCAATTGCGTGAGGATGTTGGATTGCGGAATCAGAAGATTGGATCGAGTGTATATGGACATCTATACGTACATATACGTATATGATGTATACACATACACGAAGGCGATAAAATTTCGTGTATACCCCTTGAGGTTTGGTAATATTAGTTAGTATTTATCTATATAAATCGAGACATTGATTTATGTTAATACCATTTAAAAGCTAATTATAATATTAAGATATGTTAGATCTTTTGGTTGATTTTTCTATAACTATCTTTTTATATGTTTTTTTTCCGGATGAAATTTTTTTTTGGATAATGTCTCATTTTTCTTATAATCTCATAAATATCACTCGACAACTTGCTCTCGTCGTCGTCATCATCCGATAAACGGATCATGAGAAACTAACAAAAAGAGAGAAGAACAAAAAAAAAATTAGTATCACCAGTTCCAGAAGGAAACCAAACCACAATTCATATCACATCTCCATGATCATTGCTCAACCCACAATCTCACTGGTTTTTCTCCAGAAACACAGGACAAGATCTCTTACAGCAGCTAAATTATCTCAAGCTAGGCCAAGGACTTCACCCTGATCAAATGAAACAGATAACAGTTTTCTTAATGATGAGAGGCCAAAGATCAAAACTATAAGCTTCATATCAGCAATATACATCACTCACAAAAGGCATCAATTCAATTCAGGTATGGTAAAGTCAATAAACCTTATCTGGTAACATCCTTTCAGTAATGTTTCAAAGTGTTTTACAGGCACTCGGTAGCGGCAGGAAACAGCATTCTTTCCGATAATTGTTGATCTTGCTGCATCGATTTTGGTCCATACATATAATATAAACTAATAATTCTGGACAGCTATCGTATATGTACATCGCAAAATCGTTTCTCAATTTCTTGCAAACGTGTGATGCTTTTCTTCACTTTTAGGCGACGACGAGGATGAGGATGATGACAGCCCCGAGAGCAAGCTTCCGGCCTTGTCCTTGCTGAATGCCTTCCTAACATCCTCTTTGAGCTCACAGAAACGCAACTTTTTGACCTTCTGCTCATCGGGCGTGCCCTTCTGGAGGTAGAACACATCCGGCAAGTCATCCTCCAGGAACTTATCCAACACTTGTGAACAGTGAGGAAAATATCGCCGGCCCAATTCCACTGACAATTATGGGCATGAAAATTAATTTGCAACAAATAACATTTTTATGAACTATAATCACAAAAAGAAAAAGAAAATCATAGCGACGAGAAGGAAACATTTCTTGGCAGAAACCAGTTATATTAAAATACCTGTTTTCGACAAGGCATCTACCCTTGATCGAAGCCTCTTATTTTGCACTACGGGTGTCTCGTTCAGGTCAACATCCCTCAGGTTACTGGAGCTTCTAGATTTAGCAATACCAGTAAATTCAGAAGTTGTGTTGGCGTGTGCTATTTCCATGGCTAACTTAGCTTCAGCAGGGAAGAATAATCTTGCAAATGCAACTGAACAGTACAGCAATCAAAATTAGCAGGTGCCATCTGATAACACACAAGTCAATCGATATAATACTAGCAATAATGATATCTGTGTTCTCCTAGATGTTGCCAATAATATCTGCATAAGAATTTTAGCTGCAGTTGTAATCTTTGAATAATAATCAGTTTAGCAGAGTACATATCCTCAAAATAAATGCTTGAAAACAAGAATTTTGATGTCAAAATATCAGTCTACCATGCTGTCAAAAGCCACTTTGAGTTAGCACTTATTGACTAATTTGCTTCGTAGATCAGACTACGAAGTAAGAAACAAACTGTTGGTAAATTAATCAATGTCCTAAATTAAACATGAGCATATTTGTCCCTGAACTAGAATCGATTAACTAAAGATTTTATAGAACAATCAAATCCAGATCTGACTTAAAAACTCAGTACCTTCTTCCACCGAGTTAAGGATATAGGTGAACGGACATAGCATCATGGATGACATTACTGGCATAATCATATTAAGTTCTACTTGTATTAAAATGACTTAGTCCTTAGATATAAAATGAGAAAACGTTCATCAAACAAAACACTGCAAAACAACTATGAAAACAAGGATAATGCACCATCATTTAATGACTGGTGAGAAACAAATATGACGGCAGCTGATGAGAAAATTCTAAAGTATCTATCATGACAGGAACACGGTATCAGATTCAAAAATTAAAAGAAGCAAACCTACGACGTTACAGGTCTGATTTGCACTGTTAGCTCAAAAATCATTACAGATTAAGAAACAGAAAATATGAATAAGAACAAATATAAGAAAAAAAAATTAAACTCAAAGAATTAAAAAAAAATCATTCATGCTCAAGATTGCTACAAAACCATTCGTACTTCGAAAAACAAAATATAGAAGATAGACTTAAATAAGCATGCAGGCCTACTTTTGAGGTAGAGGTGAAAGACATTTAACAATACTAAAGCAAGAAATCTGTAAAGAAGATGATATGTGACAGACAATATTCATGAAGGCGATCGATAACTGTATCACAATTCCCTTATGAAAGCTTACCTCTATTTTCCAGGTAAAGAAGCTTCATGTGTAGATCATCAGCCAACAATGGTGATGTAGCAGAGTCTTCTGCAGCCAAGGGATTCCTCATAATCTCTCTCTCCAGAATATCAATGCAAATCTTGTTTTTATTTGATTCTTGACCCTGCTCTGTTCTTGTAAAATAATCTTTCGCCCTAGTTAGTCTCCTACATATTCTAACAGCATTTTGGCCATCAGCTGTTGTTTCTAATGCTGAGGCACCTTTTGTGAGAAGTGACACAATCACTGCTGGCTCTCTTCTCATGGCAGCCAAATGAAGTGCTGTGTATCCTCTATCATTCTTTAAATTCACATTGGCTGACCCAAGGTCTAACAACTCAGCGACAACTTTAGAATCAGAGTAAGCAGCCGCATAATGTAGAGCATAGGCATCATCTAGAGTAACCCCAGATTCACTCAAAAGCAACTTTACCAGTTCAACATCATCAGAGTCCAGGGCTCTGTGGATTCTTTTAATTCTCTTCTCAAGCATGGGGTCCACGGTGGCAGTAGATTCCTTAGGCTGAGATTCGCGACGCAATAATCTAATTTCTTCAGCTACTTCTTGTGGGAGCTCCTTCTCAAGAGCAATATCATCAAGATCCGACCTAGCTACTCTTTGGACACAGTGAGAGAGCAACTGGTTAAGCTTCGAGTGGGAGGCAACCTGAAGGATAGGAATGACATCTTCCACCATAGCTTTATCAACAAAATTCAGAAGTCGACGCTGTGGATTACAGAAAGGATAATACAGTCACCTTGGTGTTGTGCACAAATATCAATACACATTCATCACCACAAAAAGACCACAGAAGAGTACAAAATACAAATATTAGAAGAATTACATGTTTTTATTTATAAGACCAATTTAAGAAATCATCTCAGGTTATCATACAAAAGGCAACTACAATGTCAGTTCACAAGTTATAAATTAACTGTTTTCATAGCAGTAAACTGGAATGGTGATGATTGTGGATGCAGACAAAGACTGTCGAAGAAACAAAGAACTTTCAGAGATAAGCTACGAAATTAGCTCATAAGTCAGTCTTACTAATCTTTTTCATGGCGATTATAGTAGTATCCCATTTTTTCTATCAGACAAACTATTAAACTCTGACTGAAGTTGTTTTCCTTGATAATATTTATCAGTTATGCAGTTTTTTAAGACCATGCACTACTCTTACATTGTTGAGTAATTTGTCATCTCGAGATAATAGCATATTTCTCCCAAACAATCTCTATATCCTCAGTATCTCGAACATGTATGCATTACAATAAAAAAACACAGATGCAATTTTCAGTAATGCACTGTAGATACACGAATTAAAACTTTTTTTTCCACACAAGTAGGGGCACCAAAGTTCCTTTTGTTATAACACTTCTATTTTAGACATATCATGTGTGATATTAGTGTAGTTTGTCGAGTCAATCAAAGTGGACGTAATAACTATTGCTGCAGTAATAGTTATAGTGCTCGGTATAAATCCTGCAGTCAGCAAAACAAAGATTTAATTGTACATGCAATCTTTTCCTCAAGAAACTTGTAACTTTCAAGAACTCGTAGACTAAGGTTCATAATAGAAAGACAAAGATTTCCACCGATAGTAAATATCAAATATATGGTTCCTGGTATCTGATGAAACCTTTTATAATCTTTCCTATCCAATTATTGAAGTCTTTTTTTGTTGAACCTGTGGTTGAGTTCTTATACACATGAACGAATATTTGTGTGATTCCACTCACCATCTCAATAAATTCTAGTGAAGTTATCCTAAAGCCCCATATCCTCCCAACAAGTAATTACCTCAGTTTCGCATCATACACTGTTCCACTTTCAGTAGATTTGCATCATGAATTTCTTCGGATACCAGAGGAGCTGCACTCTCTCTATGGGAATTCGAGGAGACAAACAAAAAAGTTCCATTATGAATTTAGAAACATGTGTTGAACTTTTCATTCTGTAAAATTGAGTAAAAAGACTCGGGTATTATCCTCCTCCAGCTCAACAGATCACAAGATTTCATTACGCGCAAACTCAAGAATCAAACTTGTGACCAGTTTTCGTGATATGAACATCAGTTAGTAAAGAGCAATTAATCCAACTATCGATCAACTTCACAAACGCAAACATATGAAGAAAGACAATAGGCTAAAACATGAGGACAGCAAACCAACCTGTAAAAGTGAGACGAGCTCCGCGATCTGAAAGACAGAAGATGCGTACAAGAGCTCGACGGCGAAGCCAATGGCTGGCCGGCAAGCGTCATGCGCGCAGAACCTGTCAACGCATATCGACACATCTTGCGGGGCTGCTCGGAGCTTGCCCGTGTAGAGATAGCTCAAGAAGACCATGAAGGCCTCCCGGCCGATCCGACCACCGGGGAC